CTCACCCAAGGTTGCAGTCCTCAAGTTCGAGCGCGGCATGCAGCAAGGTCTTCTCGGCCGCATCAGCCGCACATCCATCATGGAATACCATGCTTTTGGCATCATCAGCGAAGGCCGCAAGTCCGGCTGCCACTACATGATTTGCGGTGTGCAAGGTGACTTCACTAGAGGCCTCGTTGCCAACCCGCCCAAAACCGTGTGGACACGGCAATTGAAATTCGGTATGTGCTACTATTTTTTGCCCACCCAAAAACCTTATTAAAAAAGCCCCACATACACATGAACTAGAAGCTAACGACGATACTTCTGATTGACAGCGGGACCCGGACACGCCTCTGCCATGTTTAAACGAGGCATTCGCATCTGCACCGGCACAGGCATCGGCGCTGCACTCTCAACCTGCATCCAATCGCCAAACTGGTTCTTGATCTGGATCGGTTCAGACCAAGAGCGCACATTTGGACCCACCGTCACGGGCCTGATCCACAAGCACATCGAGCCCGAGCGCATGATTCTGTGGGACAGCAAGAAGCGAGGCGGCCGCCCGGATACGATGGCTCTACTGCGCGATACATGGAAGAGCTTCGGCGCCGAAGTCATCTTCATCACAAGTAACATGCAAGGCAACGATGAGATGATGCAGGGTTGTGCACAGGAAGGTATGCATGCTTTTGGGACCCTGTGGGACTTTTAAGATTTCCACAACATCTTGCCCATTTTCCTTGTTTTTTTTGGTTTTTCCAAAGTGTGAACTCCTTCAAGTGCTGAGGTGAGGTTTGCGAAAACGCCCGGGGGAAAGAAGTTGAAAGTCAGACATATTAACGGAGTGCCCACGGTTTGTGCCGGAACAAGGGGGGAAGACGTGGTGAAGGGAAAGGGCTGAAATGATCGGCCGGGGGGTGGTGAGCTGAGTATCCGGAAACCATTATGGTGGGATTTTTTCCTTATGAGAGGGAACGCTTGTAAGCATCTCCTTTTAATGATTGCTCATTTCGTTTTTAGCGCGGGTTAGATGGAGGACGAGGGGTGTGCGTGTGTGTCTTTTCAGCATTACTACATTATCTTTTTCACATTCTCTCTCCTAGTATACTTTTTATTTTTAGAAAGGGGCCTTGAATATGGGGTCTTGCGTAGATGGGGAATTCGGAAGCGGCGTCGCTCTCTCTCTCTCTCTCTCTTTTCAAAGTTTTTACTACTATGTAGATATTTTTTATTTCATTCGCCACCACTTTCAATAATCACAACAAATTCACAAACACAACTTTCGCAAACTTGCCTTCTATTAGAAATCCACAATGGTTTTCCACGTTTAGTAACATGAAGTTCCCTGGGCCCTCGGCACATACAAACCCTTGTTTATACGGACAGCAGAGACGGGAATCTTACCTCATCAATAATATCGCCACGTTATTACCACCAAAACTCTATCGCACACACAGACTGCCACTCGAAGTTTAAACATAAGAATACATCATCAACTACTCATCCCATTCAACAAAAAACCGTAATGATATGCGATAACGCCGCAGCAACACTAGTGTCGTTACACGTCAGATTCTATTCTCGTATCCCTTTTTCTGTCTCTCCCTTTGTCGAAAGCTGCGAGGGACGTGCTGGGGGGAGACTGAATGTTATCGATCGCTTGGATATCTCCGGTCATCTGCCTCACTTTCTGTCTCTCTGTATCTCACAAAAAAGACCTAGATCGCACACAAAGTCTGATGTACACTACACAGGTATGTACCGATCATCGCGTGACTTCGCCATCACGCAACCTCGGGGACCAGTCTGGCAAGCGCACCATCACGTTATCTTCACCGACACACTCACGCTTTCACAGAAGGAAAAAAGAGAGTGTATACTAGTTTCCAATAAAGACGAGCTCCACTCCCATCTCTACCCGTCTTTCCGCCTGCCCCCAACTTTTTCACTTTTTCCTTCCATCGTCCTTCTTTTTTCCCTTCCGTGCCACAACAGGTTGTTTGCATCCCTTGGATTGCACACCCCTTCCCGTCCCACACCAATCTATCGACAGCAAACGATAGACTCGCCATCGGGAAGCTCCCGTCCGCGGATAGATTAAGCCCAACCCCCCAGCCCCCCCTCGCAGAGCGGCCAGGCCCCCGGAGGCGGAGGGGGAAGGAGGGCACGCAAACTGGGAACATGCAAGGCAACCCGACGACGCCTTTTCTCATGGCGCACCGCGAGGCAACTTGGCCAAAACCCACCGTCGCAAGGTTGAAGTGAGGTAATTAGCGGGGTTATAAGATTGGACTCTTCACAATTCTCCACACACCCCCCCAACATATCATACTCAGGTTTTCCCTCTTGGCGTATCGCCCGCACGTTGTCGTTGCGCGATGAGCGTCGTTCGGAACCGGGGAACGGTGGGCCGGGTAGTTGGACATGGGGGGAAAGGGAAGGGGTGGAGGGATGATCAAGCGTGGGGATTATACTATTCGAGAAAAAGCGAGATACGTACGTATGATACACCCCCCCCCCCTTGGCATTAACCGGTGGCGGCGTGCGTGGGGGGCTTGCTGGGCAAGGTGCGCTCGCACTTTTCTCCAGGTTGTTTCGCCATTTTGTCTGAAACCGGGTATTCGGTACGCGGGAAGGGAAAGAAGAAGGTAGGTTCGGTGCGCGCGCGCATCGCTGACGACGTCATGGTGTGTGTGGACGGGGGTTGAAAGGGGGGGTGGGTTAAAGGTAGCAAGGGTTAGTTGGGTAGTATGAGCATTTTGCCCTACTTAGCCATCCAAGAGAAAAGAAAGAAAAAAACAAGATCAAAGAAAATATTGGGCGTGATGGTGGGAGGTTTTGCCAAAGCAAGACTGTTTGTTTGTCCTCACGGCAAGTCGGGAGCGTAGATCCGGGAAGTAAATGATTTACGTGCTACATTTCCGGTGTGGGTTTTTCCCGTTTTTTCTCGTGGCCAGCCTCAATTACATACTGTATATGCGCAAGGTAAAGTATCCACTCACACACTCTGCTATCGCGCTCCCCGCGGCATGAGTGGGAAAAAGGGAAGCACGCACATGACCTCCGATTTTTTCTTCCTTTGCGTTTGGAACCTACACCTTTGTTTCTTGTAAACGACGAACAAGGTATCGTCGCAAAGGACCCCTACCCCCCCCTTATCGCCAGTATAAAGAGGGGGAGAGAGAGAGTGACAAACAAACTTTCCAGATAGAAAGCTCTCACCGGATGTGAGAAACCCTTGTTACATTCTTCTCTTACACGCCTATAACAAGCGGGGGTACATAACACCAATCTTACCGCCTATATTCAATGTAGAAAAGGGGGGGGGGGAAGCGGATATATACCCTACCCTATCTCCCATACCACTTGACCCGCGACAACCCCAACGTCGTCACGATCTCCATCTTGATAGAGACGGAAATCATATCGACGCACCACCTTGCCGTCTTCTCATACCAATGAAATATCGCGTTTCACCCTCTCTTAAGAGAGAGAAAAGAAACTTTGCGTAGTAAACCCCCCCCCCCCCCCGGTCCCACACATTCACATGTAAAACACGCATACACGAACTCTCCTCCATCCCTCATCTACCTCGCGTAAACAAAACGTGAATACAATGCACTCCTCCCCCATCTACCATATTATATCTCCTAATCGGTCACCCACACGCGCCCATATGCATTTTAAAAAAATCCCCGCACGTGCACTCCTGCTTCGAAAATCCTTCCATCTGCATCCAGCAATTTGGAGAAAGAAAGAGAGAAAGAGAGAGAGCAGGAGCAAGATTTGCGTTTCTGCCACGTGCCAAAAAAACAAAACAAAAAAAGCAACTAGGATGTAGCATTATTCCCCCCCATCTTTCCGTTAAATATCTATATAATAATCCTTGTTTTATATAACTATTCCATCTCACAATGACCCTGGAGGCATCTGCGTTCTGCAATACGTTGAACATATATACCCTGTCCTGTCTCCTCTTAGAAGACAGAAGTGGCCTAGTCCCCACCACCTAATCTTGACGAGTGGGGCGGGGATACGCTATACCAGATCCAGATACATATACTATCGCTTCGTTAATCGCTTCTTTTTTTTGTATTTCTGTGCAATCATTGTTTTCTTTTAGTTGATGGCTTGGATTAGTAATGCTAGAATGATGTGCAGTGGTAGGTGGTTGGCAAGGAATGTGAGGTGTTTATGCGTGTATATTTTTCTTTGGGCAAAATATCTTCGGGATCGCGCGGAAGTCAGGCAGTGGCCGTGAAAACGAAGGTATAACTTCAAGCAGAACACAACAAGTCATCGATCGAGTGATGTAGGCTGAAGATAAAGACGATCTATTCGCATTGGTGCCTCAGACATGTCAACTACAAACTACGTACATATAACTAAAGCGGGAGAATAAGCAAAAAGGCACTCGACAAGGGGAATCGCGATGTACATAAAATATGGACAAAAGAAGCTAAATAAGCTAGCAAGCAAAAGACTTCTTTTCACGGAAATAAGGAAACCGAGGCCATGGAAGAGGAGGGTGGTGGTGGTGGTTCCTGCAGTGTCGATCCTGGGTGGCGTCTTGCACCTGATCTAACAGCCCTTGGGATGCTGGTAACCAGAGGACGAAGAAGGAAGAATTGCGAGTTTGTACGATAAAGGACGTGAACAATCAATATATGATCCGGAGAAAGGGCAAAGGAAGAAGACGGTGGTATTTTCCTGCAGCAAAAAAAATGAAGTAGCAAGTTACAAATGGAATTAGAATTGGAAGTGGAGGCGGAAGCAGAAGCCAGAAAAAAAATAAACGCCTAGTAGCCGCGAGGCAATTCCAGTTTAAACAAAAGAGGAATATAGGATAGGAAATATCCGGTTGCGTCCGCGAGGACATTGGGTAGTCTGTTTTATAATCTCGGCATGATTATGCGAGACTTGAATTGAAGGCCAAAGGGCAAAAGAGAAAGATGTGGGGTGTGGGGATCGCCGAGACAATGTTTCGATGTTTGGGGGGAGGGGCGGGCCCCCCAGATTTATATGCGGCGATCGAGGCGATCCACGCGGGCCTTGAAGCCTTTTACGATTTCGCCAATGCGCCGGACTTTGTCGAATTCGACCTCGAGCTCGTCGATTTCGCGGAGGATGGCGCGGAAGCGGGCGATTTCCGCGTCAGCCATTGCCATTGCGTTACCCGCGCGGTCGTACTGCACTTGGGTTGCTGTTTGGGTCTGTTGGGTGAGCTGAAAGTGTGGTTGTTAGCTTTGGAACATCTATAAATGCTGCTGGGTTTTGCTATCTATCTTACTACAAACGCAGACGGAGGAAGGCGGAAAAGAGAAAGAAAGAAACTCACGTATTGCCAGCGCTGCTGAATCGAATACATCAGACGATCAAAATGGGCGCTGAGCGCCTGCAAACTAGAAGGATCCAGGAGGAGACGGCCCTGGCTAGAGGCGTGAGAAGCAGCGCGCGACGAATTGGAGCCTTGCTGCGAGGCGGCAATTTGCTGCTGGAGATATCTGCTCTCGCTCGAGTTGAGGCCCAGTTCAGACACTGGGATGGCAGACATGTGCACATAATTATCTTAAGAACATGGTCGGTCGAGTGGAACCTGCTTGATCTCTCTCTGTATGTCTGCTTTCCCTCTGGTGCGTATGCGTGTGTGTGTGTGTGTGTGTGTGTGTGTGTGTGTGTGTACGTGCAGGTGTACGGTGTGCAGGCGTGCGTGTGTGTATGTGCGGTGTGACGCTTCGTGCTTAATTTTAGCTGTAGCAATTGTTGCTAATGGGCTATGAAGCTGCTGGGGAACGTTACGACATACATGCGTCGAGGAGGAAATGGGAGACGAGGGGGGGTGGGGATATGCAAGCTGATGTTGTTTAGAACTATGGGGGACGGGGCGGCTGAGGCCCGCCAAGTGGCCGGCTAGGTATGGGGGAGGGAGGGGAGGAAGTGCCAGACAAACCTACCAGCCTATGTCACACCCCAGAAAAGCAAAGACCTGCGAACGCCCAACTATCCCACACCCTCATCTCCTCCTAGCCCCGGCTGCAGCCCTACGCTCTGCCGTCCGAATCCCGCTGGGTGTGCAGCTGTCTGGCGGTTGTGCAATGATGCTTGCAGTTGTGCGGTTGTTCGCGACGCTGCACGTATCGCAATCAAGCGAGCATACAGTACGGCAGTCGGCCGTCTGCGAGCCCCTCCTCTCTCGTCCCTTTCCACTCGTCCACCAGAAGCCGCCACACGACGCTGAACCACCATGACCGTTGTGCTTTTTTGTGCGCTTATTTACCACCCCAGTGCTGTGCCATACAGAGCCACCGAAGCGCGGGACACCAACTCCGCATGCACACCCTCTTGCCTCGATGCGACAAGGATGTTCTGATTGTGCCGTTACGTCCATGGGTGAATGTTGACCCCACCAGCTCCCTTGGAGCGAGGAGGGGGTGCTGAACACAACTCCCGTCTGGCCATGGACGAACCAGATGCAGAAGGTGACAATGCCATGAGCAGCGTGATGAGCCCTTGCCGCTGCGCACATACACCGACAACCACGCCTCAATCAACCCTCTGTTATGTGGCTTTCACAAAAGAGCACAAGACTTACCGAGGCAGCACGCCCCCCGCGCACAGCAGCCCTTCACCACGAAAAAGGCCTGGACAAGCAAGACACACCACCATTTCTGTGACAAAGCCCTCGTGCCTGTCAAGACTCTGGCACATCTAACGCGTATCCTTGAATACTTGGTGACAATAGTCAAAGTTTGTTTCATAAGACAACAAGGTTTAGATTACCCATAGTTATTAGCTCCTAGCCTGGGGTATCCTGCTTATAGAAAAAAGGAGAGCTGACTTGCTCATATTCGTTCAAGTCGTCATACATATAACTACAGGTATAGTGGAATACAAAAAGGAAAAAGAAAGGGGTATATACACCAAGCCTGCCAACGCTATGCACAAGGGAAGAGATAAAGGAAACGGGGGAAGGTCGTGTGACCATGAATGCTTTACAGAGCGTAGTTCTCGGCGTGAAGGAAGATTTCGTCGCGCCCACTGTCATTCCACACACTTCGTTGCAACTGCGCAACAGTCTCGCTGACACTGATGCGCATTGCCGGTGGTCCGCACACGAAGACACAAGTGCGTCTGCCAAAGTTTTTACTCAGCCCCCTGAGTAGATACGGTATATCTGGGCGTCCGTATTCTGTGCTCCATCCGTCCTTCTTCTTGACGGCGGCGGGCAGAAAAGCAAAGCGCATCAGGTTCTTCTGGAACTCGGTGGGCGTCGAGGGGAAACCAAAGTCGAACCCTTGTGTAGTCTCAGTAGGGTTGTGGACGATGCTGGGGGCCATTGCCCCAGAGCCGGCCGCGACAGCCTGTGAAATATCAAGAGAAAGATTACGCTCCTGACGGCGGGCAGCCAATCCGCGGGGCGCCGGGGCAATGAGGTCGGGGTTCGAGCTATCCACTGACTCTGCGGAGATACTGCCGTTGTTGTGGCTGGGGCGTGGTGGGGCCAGATGGCCCCTGTTGATAGGCAGCAAGTGCGCCTGTGGGAGAGCGGTAATGCTGTCTTCGTTCTCGCGTCGAAGTTCAGACTCCTTCTCTGGGTCGCCTTGCGCTTCGTCGCGGATAAGCGCTGAGTGTCGTTTGGACGAGATGCCGGACAAGCGATGTTCAGCGATATTTTGGAAAGCGTCGTTGACCTTGTCGTGGAAGTAAAGCGACACTGGACGTGTCGGTGTCTTTGCACTAACCAATCCACCAGCAAGGTTGCGCTTTGCTGCGGTAATGTAGAACTGGCACTCTACTGTCTCGGGTGGTGCATACTCTCGACAGATGCGAAGTTCTTCCTTGAACCACTCCATCGTCTCAGGACGCTTAAGGGCCCAGATGACGTGGATCTTGCGTGTGACTGCCTTGCCGTCGCGCATCTTCTTGATCAAAGACAGGAGTTGTGAGACGATGGCGGTGATGCCGCTACCGCCAGCAATAAGTACAACGTCATCAAAGGCTTCAATGCGTCGTTGCATGCCTCCATAGGGACCATCGACAAAGGCCCGGTAGGTATGCCATGGACCATGTTGGAGGGCTTTCTCACGGACCTTCCTGGTGAAGCCACCAAATGGTCGGAAGACCAAGACCATGTCACGGTAGCCTTCACCGTATTCCGAAGGAAAATCTTCGCTGCAGAGCGAGGCGATGGTAAAAGGGTGATTCTCGAATACAGAGATGCCAGGCATGCGGAGATAGACGTATTGTCCAGGTCTCCATTTCATCTGAGTTGGAATGGTGATCTTGATGGCGTTCTCTGGCATGAGGGTCACGGCACACTCGTCGCCTATGAGCCATGACATACGTCCTGGACGAGTCCAGTTGAGGTAGAAGAGCCGCATGATATAGGAGAATAGCCATACGGCAACGGTCGAGAGCAGATAGTCCCAAGATGTTAGGTAGTTGTTGCAATGCCAGAACATCATGCCGACGAAGACAATGGAGACTGGCACATGGAGCGCTACAAAGAGCTCGTACATTCGGTGACGGAGAGGGGCGATCGAGTGCATACAAAGGAAACACAGGGGAACAAGCGCCGCGATACCTATGACCTGTCAGTCCCTAACACATGATGGCTGAGAATAGCAAACATACCTGTGCCGTAAATGTACATTCCTTCGTTCTGTTGGAACAACTGTCTGAAAGTTTCTCTCGCACCCTTTTCCCACACCGGGGTAACGTAAAAAGGAACGGTGTGCATGATGCTGAGACCCAGACAAATGTACGCTGCCCATCTGTGCAGCACATTCAATCGTTCGTGACTGATGCCAGTCACCATGGAGATGAGGTTCGCCTTCATTGCAAGCGCGACGATCCAAGGCATGAGAGCAACCGCCATCATGCCAGAGCGAACTGCCAGTGGAGGCGAGCCATAAGCAATGCTTTCCCAGAACAGTGGTTGAGGGAGGGTGCAGTAGAGTACTCCTAGGATCAAAGCAAGTGACACGATCACAATTGTCGACAAAGATGGAAACACAATAGGCCTCCATCCTTTCTTGATCTGAATCTGTGGAGTCGGTCGATAGAAAATGAATCGGAAAAAGGCCACCAGGTTGTTAATTGGGCCCACTGAGGATACACTAGATTGCTGTTTTGGCACACTTGGTAGCGGGCCTTCGCGAGGAAAGAACTTCATGGTGGACTTGTCAGTATCAAGTACTGATAGCTCGTAGTCTGTGGCGGGAGATGATGTCTTCGAGGACTGTAATACCTCTTCTTGATGTAGTGCTGTCCGGATCTTGTCCGTGAATAGGTGGTAGTATCGCATGAGTGCCGCAATTACCAGCAGAGGTATACAAAAGTAGACATATGCCAACGCATATTTTCCACTCTTGTCCCATGGGTCGACGGTGTTTGCTTCTATCAAGCCGGGCGGACTTGTGCTGTTGAACGGGACATGCACCCGCCGTAGTAATGTTGAGACGGATTCTGCGATGTTGTTCTCGGCGTGCGATACAGCGATACCCAGCTGTCCCATGGCCACGCCTGTCCGCGCCATGAGAGCTTCCCGAAGGGCTGGCATCTTCGAATTCGTGTGTGGTAATCGTAACAATCGGCGTGGTGTTTGTTTCGTAAATCACCTCTGCCAGCAGAAGTTGAACCGCAACGTAGACGCGTCCTGGACCGGCGAGTAATGGGTTTGAGAAGGTGATTGCTTGAAGGACATCCGGGGTCCCGGTTCTACATGGATGATGACAAGGTCAAGGCTCGTTTATTGTGACCATGCGCTCCCGCGGCGCGGCGGAAACTGTATCCAGGATTGATATTATGCTGCGGTGTGTAGGATCGACCCCGTCTAGTAAGAAGCTAGGTCCACCTCTTGTTTTTGCTTTGCAACGACGGTATCCGGTACAAATGCTCGTAGGTGTTATCGAGACATCGGACGGGGCATGGGCGCTGAAAATCAGATAGCGTGCGCGAGCAGGAGCCCAGTTCCTTAAGTCCTGTGGCCAAGTGGGGTGCGGGTGACTCGCAGGGGATAGGATTGTCGTATCGTGGCAGCAAATGGAGAATGATATTCTGCCGCTCACCAAAGCCCACGCTATTGGGCCAAGATGTGATTGCCAGTCCAGGCCGGGGGCATCTCAAAAGGGCAATCTAGAGCCTAAAGCGCGCCGTCACACTCGCAGCGTGCATCAAAACACATTAGATTATCCAAGGGCTTTGCAGCTATCACCGGAATGCGCTTCATGCACTGGGCCTTGGGCTGTGAGTGGCGAGTAGCGGACGGCAAGGAAGCGGACCGATCTTGGTCTTCCCTTTTAAGCGAGAGGCGCTTTCGGCTGCATCAGGCACCTCATGCTATCAGCGTGCTCCATCTCTGTTCCCTTTTGACATACGGACGTACGCACAAACATGACGGTTCTCCATGTCGAGCAGCCTTTGCAGGCGTTGCACAGCGCGCACTGCCATGTCGTGTACGTGGCCCTCTTTTCCATCTCATGTGAGACATTTCATCATGTCGGGGCCGGAGCATAATCCTGCTCATCAGTCTAGGGCTCTAGCGTAGTCGTCGAGGGAACAAGACAGAAGCCGCAGTCGTATCACAGACCTTTGCCTGGTGTAGGGTTCCCGTCCGTCGGTAGGGCCAGCTCCGTTTGGTGGATTAGCGGATATCAGCATAGGGCTTGTCCTTCGTTCGCATGACCGCTGGATGAGCGAATTGGAGGAATTGGGCCCTGAAGGCCCTGCTCAGGCTGCTTGCAGCCATGCACGGGAAGAGCGAGACGGTGGAGCGGGGTGGTGGTGTTGCGAGCCTTTGACTGGACGTCGATGGACATTGTAAGCGCCGGCCACCCTGACTGGGACTAGCGTGCAAACAAGCTTTTCGAAGCCCGCCCGCCTGCCTACATCCGATCCTGGTTGGCTGCAAATCTCCATCCAACTTTGCACACCGTCCAGTGCTGCGATGCACTACAGCATGAGCGTTGAGCTCGCCGCAAAGCTCGGCACATGGCTTCAACAAGTAATTGGAATACTTGGTCAAGAGCTTCACCATACCGCCGAGCTTCGGCTGTCTTTCCGCTCCCTGACCCAGGCACCTGTCCGGTATGCACGCTAGCAAATGTCACCAGTCCCAAATGCCACTCTGCGAGCTCGCATTCGTCAAACGACCAAGAAGCGGTCACGGCTTGGCATCAATATTCGTACACTTGGTCCGAGACGATGAAGATTCCATGATGCACTCACTGCCTCAACGTCATCGCCTCGGCCGCCCAAGATGTGACCCATTTCGCATCTGATCTCTACTCAACCGAGTAAAGTACAAACAACCAGTCCATCACCGAGCAACCGTTAGCCGCTCTCTGGACCCTTTCGAGGCCGCCCCGCACGTTAACGCACATGGAAGATGCCTAACCGCCAGCCCTACGACCTCAGTCCGCCCCAAGGCTATTCGATTAGGGCTGCGAGCCTTGAAGCTGTCAGCCCAAAGTGCCGGATTTTCAGGCACAGGCTCGCAATCCAGACTCGTTACGCGCTCGCACATTGCGCAATGTGTCGCTGGCGGCTGCAACTCTAATCGAACATGCTATATTGCCACATCTTAACGTGTCTCCCAAGCTTGCAGCCACATGTTATGCGCATCGTGAGCGCTTGGATGATGTCGTGGGCGTCTAGATGGGCCTCGGGGCGCTTTGGCCCGGTTCGAACACATTGTTGCTTTGCTCGTGCTGCTTGACCATGTTCTCAACTTGCTTGCATACCAGACGAACGTGGGGGTTGGGCGAGCCGAGGGCGCATGCCCTCAGTTCAGTACGGTGACAGCTTCGCGAAGCGCTGATAAGGACATGGCAGCTGCAATATCCGAACACAGATGCAATGGCACTTGCCGTACGTATCCAATGCGAGAGATGCATCCTTTCAGTCCATAATCACTGCCCCCTCTCCAGCACAACAGTCGATCACTCTCACCGGCTGAATAAGCACCCCTCGTACTCGAGACTCATTCAGCACCTCGGATTCTGTGTATCCTCGATGCGCAACGCCGCTTGGGACGTAGTGTACTCTAGTTCATCTTACCTGCAGCAAATGTTTTGAAACTTGCGCCCAATCGGAATCCCGCATGGGCTCCTGCCCATGCAGTGCGACCCACCTCACGTGTGCAAGCTCATATATCGACCCTCCAGCCTGCCGGACGCTGGACTCTAGCCTCTTGAGAAGCTGCTTGTGCGGGTCCAAGGGTTCACTGTGACGCTGTATCGGGATATGTCGTGTTACTCTGCTGATAAGGGAACGTGTGTGTGTGCGCAGCTATTCTTGGGTCCTTTCTTTTTGCGCTTCTTACATTGACAGCAGTGCCGTAGCCAAGGGAGAAGAACTAGTGATAATAATACGCATGTTATACATGAGTCTGCGAATAGCTGTTCCACGGGTTTGCGCTTTCGTTGTGGGTACTTCTGCACGACGCGGTAGTATCAAATTACTTCGCATATGCAGCTACTCGGTTCCATTCGTCCGTAGATATTATCGTGGGAAGCCTCATTGCTATTTTCAGACTTTGGCCATGTTGACCACTGTGAACAGCATGCTCGACTGGAGTCTCTCTCTCACTGCACTGCATAGATGACACAAAATAGTCGTCACGGTAACTAGGGAAGCAAGGCAGTAACAAGAGCAGGAAAAAAAACTTAATATTTTGGCAATCTATGAGAACAATCCATTCTCCATAGCCATATATATGCAAACATTAAATCTCCGCATGCGTCGAGATGTTCCATTTCTGGAGGAGATTATGCCTATGCCAAAAGCTCCTATACTTCTTACCCCAGAAGAAGAAAACAGGCGCGGTAATAATCATGCCGCCCGCGACGCCGCCAAAGACGTAGAAGACCTGTGCAGGCCCCTCGGCGGCAGCCCAGTTATTGACAAAGTAGGAGAAGCCGTAGAACAAAAAGTTCTTGAAGACCATGTTGATGATGAAGACTTCGGAGCTGATGTCGCGGAAGGCGTCGAGGACGTAGGAAGAAGCTGCGATGCACGCAATAACAATGCCGAAAAGGTCCATGCCGTGGAAGAAGGCAGTGAGGTAGAATGACGAGCCCTTTTGGGCATAGTGGCCGAATAGGCACAGGCCGATTACTATGGTTACGGAGGGGATCATGGCGAGGAGACGGTATTCGGGCTCGTAGACGCCGTTGTTCTTCTTGGCACACCATTTGATGAGAGGGTCGTATAATATTCCGATGAAGACGGAGCCGATGAGGCCTCCGAGAAAGGGGCCGAGGGAAAGGTAACCGACTCCAGCTGTGCTGAGCAGGTATGGCGGTGCCTGGAAAATCTGAGCCATTACGTATGATTGTGCGACGAAGAAGGCGGTCAATCCACCGGTTACGATGACCATCCATAGAACAGCCATGTTGGTGCAGACGGCGAAAGGCGCAATGACGAGCTGCAAAAGGTTATCGTCGGAGTAGGTTCCGGTGAAGATGGCCAGAGATTGGACATATGTCTTTTTCGGAGGAATGACAGAGCGAGAGGTAGCATTTGTCTGCACCTTTTCAAAGTCATCGCTTCCTTCCTTCTCGCTGCCACTCGCTCTCTTTTGTTTTTCGCCCTCGATAGCGGCAAGCTCGGCTAGGTTTTCGTTGGAAAGCTCGTCGATGTCATAGCGGTGGTCGCGGTTGTAATTCGTTTCGGGGACGAAGAAATAGAGCAGGGGGACCTCGATAGCGACAAAGGGAACAAGAATGTGGAAAAGGTAGCGCCAGCCGAGGTTCGTTGCAATGGGTCCCACAATGATGGCTGAGAAGTTGGATGCCGCTCCGAGGATGAATTGGATAAATGTCATGAAAGCTCCGCGTTGGTGCACAAAGAATAGGTCACCAATCATCGAGACAACGAGGGATTCAAAAGCGGACCTAGTGGACAGTCAGCATGGCTTGACAGGTGCGCATGTATTAAACTTACACAGAGCCACCTTGAATGATGCGGCCGGCCATGAGGCCCTCGTAGCTATTCGAGGCACTGCCGATGACAGTTCCGAGTAGGCCGAAGAGTGACGCGAGAATAAGCTGAGGACGCTTTCCGTACTTGCGAGACAGCGCGTTGACTATAGGTCCAACACCGCCGGTGACCAGTAGCATGTATCCTGAGATGAGGGTAATGTCACGAACAGACTTGTTAAAAGTTTTCGCAATGACCACCAAAGCAGGAGACAGGAGCGGGGAAAGCACGGCAGCATAGAGGACTGATCCATATGCCACAATCATCATAATGACGAGCTTCTGGGTATGCGGCCAGTTGAGTGGATCATTAGGATCTTCAGACCTGTTTGTTTGTCAATCCTGCTGTTGGCTGTGGTATCTGACAGACTCACGGCTGTGGAATGAGAATAATTTCTGAATCTTTGCCAGTGCCACGTTTTAGTCCGGCGGGAGGAGCGGTTCCTTCAGCGACATTGGTCAGAGGATTTTGATCCTCGCTCAAGACCACAGTTGCTGGAACATGAGCAAGGTGCTTATCCTCGGCGATTCCTAGGAACCCCATGATGAGCCACTATACCAGAGGGCGACTTGGGGAAAAGAGTGCAATTAATAAACAAAGATATAGTAAGAGGTTGTACAGATACGAAATGAAGATAGTGACCACTTTGAGGATGACGATGTCTGGTAGGCGAGAAAATCTGGGGCAATGTGCATGTTAATAAGTATATGCTGTCCCCAGTCACTTGCCAAAACATCAGTTGTCGATCGGGCCAGGGTGACATGCGCCAACAGGTGGTCTATTACCTAGAACATGTTCAGCGAAACACCCCACACAATTCTTACACTGATTGCATATAGAGCCCCACAGAGGGTGATCGGCAATTCATTTGCTTTGGCAGGACAAGATTGGGGAAACGGGCCTATAAGCACGTGGATCTTGTTACAGGGAGACAGTAGCGCGTCTTCTGTGTTTGAAGGCACTGCAGGGCCACGTTAAAAGTCCCAACATATGGATATGCATGGCTTTGGGTGTATTTAGCCTGTACTGCAATGCTATTGTCTGTCAGCAGGGTGCAGACCTGTATTCTGACAAGCATGACATGTCTGAATGGAGCAGATATGTACTCAAGGGAGATGCAGAGAAGATACTACGTACAAGTGCTTTTTCTCGCTTAACCAACTGCCATGAGGCCAAGTCGAGTAGCTCAGCCACCCCGGATTTTGCGGAGTGTGAGCACGCTAGATACCCCGCAAAAGCCCCACAGCATCTGTTACACGTATCACAATACTGCGTAAGAAGACGGAGTTTGGTTTGGCCCATCAGCGCCACACTAGTTGCCAGTTGTACGCGGTCTATACATCTTCTTACCCCACGATCTTTCGCATGCTAGCTGTGAGAAAAGCATGGGGCGCGCCTGAGACATTGCGGATGGAGCTATTGATTTCTTTTCCACCTGTTCCGTGGGGCACAGGCCAACCCATGGCAGTACAGCATACCTGGTTGGTTAGAAGCTTGGGGTACGCAAGCCACTACTACTGTCCTAATGCGTGTGGCTTTGTGGGGGATTGCGAAAGTGTGGAGGGTTCTTCCCCGATGGCTGGTAAATCTGGGGTAATATGGGGTACATAGGTAGTATTACTGCCGTCAATGGACTCTTGGTCGACAAGATGACCGCGGCATAGCGACAAACTAATCCACAGGCAAAGGGGCGATGTGATGCTCAATAGCCAACAGCCACAGGCTAACGGAAGCTCTGGAATGTATGAGTCGATCAGGTGATGTCTTTGGTATTGGATCACAAGAGATGGCTTTGTATGGCAGTCTCATGAAATGAATCTAGTCGTGAGATTGAAAGCTTCGGCACAGAGGGTGGTTTTACCGTTCTTCTTTTCTGTCTACATCATCAGCCAAACAAGGCTGCGAGATGCTTTCTCCAGACTATCAATTGGCTGGCCAGATGATATGTACGTATGCCATGACTCCTACTTCTATCTTCCCCAAGCCTACGCCGATACGTGTAGATATAAAGAGTGTGTGCTGATGTATTGCAGCTGGCAAGATAGACGCGTTGAAAGGCAGCAGGAGAAGTGATCATCTTCGGCGCTGGGGGTTACCTCTACTACTGTTCTTGGCTCTTCCTTTCTAGACTTCTGCTTCATCGGTTTCGAATCATAGGTAGCGTAAACAAGATGAAGAGGAAAGCAGTGCTGAAAAGTGGGTAGCTGGCATACCTCTTGGAGGCGGCCATGAAGATTGCCCGGCTAGATCGTGCCATCACTGGCTAGGGCTCTAACCTCATTCTCACCATCCTCATGCAGTGTCGGAGTAAAGATTCTTTTTGCCTGTGAGAAGGTCACCACGCGATAGTGGACCGTCCGTGCTCCTCCGTCGTGCTTGCCGCTTGTGTTTTTACCCCACAAACATAGTCCTCTTACTCCATCCCTTGTATCCTCACGCATGAAAAGACAACCTGCCTTTACCAGTGATGGCACAGAGGCAGGAACCTCAGATGGCATTCCAGTGTGCTATCTGTGATGAGGCCTTCATCACCAGGGCTGAACTAATCCGCCATACTGCAGCTCACTTTCGCCATACTACACCTCACTTCCGCCACGCTGCACCACCCAGACTCCTTTGTGATGTTTGCAAGTGGGATTTCGATGACTCACACGCACTGGAGCTTCACCAACGTCAAACCGGCCACGGCACGTCTGACTTCTTCTGCGATAGATGCAACCGACGCTTCATCTCGCGAGCGAGCCTCGACGATCATCGCAAGCCGCCATTGGGGTGTGCCGATACACTCAAGGAGCCAGAAGAAATGGCAGTCTTCTGCGATCGTTGTGAGAAGACCTTCAGCAACCAGAAGCGCTTTGGCGAACACCGAAGCAACTTGGCGAACGCGTGTGCCGACTGGAAACACACGCCGCCCAAGAAACAACTACAGTCGGCTTCAAAAGGCTACATTGACTTGGACAAGCCCAAAAATGATTACAGTCAGGTTGTCAATTCCTATGACGATCTCACGCAACATTCAGATGGGTCGACGAACACCGGCAATGGCGAACTACGATGCAAGGACTGCAAGAAGAAATTCCAATCTCAGGGTCATTACAACAACCACTTTCTGGCATGCACGCCAGGCGAGTCGCGCTTACAGCCTGATCATGTCATGGGAACTTACAGCAAAGGGCTTCAGGCTATACCTTCCCCTACCGAATCATGGCCCCTGCCAGTGGCAAGGAAGAAGAAATCTGCTCGACGACTAAAGGCTAAGGCTTCTAAGCATATGCCAGTACAGTCAGTTACATCGGAAATGGGCAAGCTTGCACTACCTCAAGAGCACCATGCCTCGCCCGCCACTTCTGCTCCAGCTACAGATACTGACACACATATCTGTAATACCAAAGGCTGTGGGAAGACTTTCAGGTCTCAGGCTGGTCTCAAGCAACACAAGATTGATATTCATGGTGTTGGCGGCCAGAAATTGGATATAAGCGGGCGCGACTCTTGGATGCTTAACGCGCGAGAAAGAGAACGATTGAAGCAAGAAGGTCTTCTACGAGCACCGTCTGGGCCAGCTTATGGTCATAAGGGTAGCAGAGCTCCCACTCGAGCTCCTCAGCCCCTTGCCCTCCGACCGTCCATAGTACCCCCTGGGGAACGCCCTGCACCAGCACAAAATCATATGCCGCCAGTTCAAGCAAGTGGTGTGCCAGCAATCACAAGCATGGGCAGTGCTGCGGATATGGAGCAGGCCAAGCAGATCCAAGTGCGAGCTCTACGCTTACTGATTCAGTCTGATATCTTCATACACTATGATGGCGGCATGACTGTCGGCGGTATCTGTTGGACCAGAATCTCTGTCGCGAAACAGCCCGAGGTTGTCGGCATGCTCGATAACATGTGCCACTTACCCAAGATGCTTCAAGGCGAGTATGTACCAGCACCAAAGGCATTCATGGATGAGTACAAAGTCTACTACGATCTCGCCGACTTTGAGCCGTGCCAGGTCCAAGATCCAGTAAAGCCATGCTTAGGTGTCGTTGTTCTCTCATGCAGCAAAGTCGTACTTGAAGGCGGCCGTCTCGAAGTTGTCAAGATTGCAGCTATCGATCTCGTCACATGCGGCATACTCATGAACCACCTCGTATGTACCGATCCGCGCGCACACGTCACCGACTGGCGTTCGACAGTCACCGGAATTTCTAGCTGGCTCGACATGGAAGCAGCTCGAAATGCTGGCTACAAGATCTTCAAAGGCTGGTCAGCAGCCCGAGCAGCCCTACAAAAGTATGTGGATAGTGGGACGATCATTGTAGGCCACAACTTACGCTCAGATCTCGATGCTTTACGCATAGTTCATGGCCGTGCCATTGACATTACAAAGGTGGTGGAAACGGCAGCCAGCGGTCCACTGAGCAAGGCACAGTTGGCTCTGGATAGCTTGTGCCGCGACTATACTGAGAGAAATCTGCCAAGTCACGCTGTGCACGGCCGCGATTGTCTCGTGGATGCGTTTGCGATTCGCGAGTTTTTACTCTGGTCTATCAAAAATAGGAAGAAGTTTGAGAAGATTGCGAAGCAGAAGAGTGTGGATTACCAGCGCATTCGACCTGCTAGGGATGGTACAGCAGCACCCTGAAAACGGAATAGTCAGCGAGTATGAAATGCGTCGCTCATATAATGTAATGGAGGATGAAGGGGATGGAAGTGGGAAAAATTGAGCATGTACACACAGTGAGACGAAACGGGGTAGGTAATGAGAATAACATAATGTAATTCCTATGAAGAGAAGGTGACACTTGCATTACTCTAAGCCTTCGCCTTCGCCTCCTCCTGCTCCTTCTCGACAACATCAACCACAAACGCACCACCCAGCAAAATCGCCGGCTCCTCGATGTTATGATGCTCATAACTCAGCGTGCCCACACCCCCGGCCTCAAGAATCAAACTCGGATTCTCCTCTAACCGCTTCCCCACCCAGCGTGCCGCGAGCGCCCTCAAAATATGTCCATGCGCCACGATGAGCACATCATTCGGTTTCCCATCTTTGCCAAACCGTCCTTTGTGCCATTTCTCCCTCAGCTCACCAATAAACGCATCAAGTCGCGCCGTTACATCCTCAGGACTCTCGCCGCCTTCGCACCCGTCGCGCCAAATATCCCAGTCCGCACCTAACCCGCGGCTTTGGCGATCTTGCTTGATTTCCTTTGTGATGCGGCCTTCGTAGTCGCCGTAGTCCCATTCGCGGACTGCCTCTGTGACTTGTATTTTAGCGTGCGTGCGTATGTCGGGCCTGTCGTCTTGTTGCGATGACGAGGATGGAGACCAGGGGTATCGATCTTTGCAGCCGAGGTTGAGGAGTTCGAGGGTTTTTTGGGCGCGGGTGCGGGGGGAGACGTAGCTATGTTATTTCCATGTTATTTAGTGTCTTTGAGTTGGGTTAGGGGTGTGGTAAAGAGAATGGCAAAATACATGTGAGCTAAGTTGCTAGGTACGATTAATCTGTCGTCGCCTACGAGGGCTTTGCCTGTTGCTCGGACGCGCTTCTCGCCGTTTTCGGTCAAGGGGATGTCCGAGACGCCTGTGTGTCGGCCGTTGAGGGACCATTCTGTTTCGCCGTGGCGGATTATGAAGACGCGTGGGTCGGGCATTTTTTTTCTGGGCTATTTGTTTACAATTGTATAGAGAGGGGAGACGATGCGTCGCGTTGTTTTCAATTGCAAGAGAAATTCATGAAAAGATATGCGCTGGAGCGGAACTCAGCAGAGCAATCAAACAACGAAATTAGACGAAAGAAGTAGATTGAGCAATTGCGAAATATGCGGTAGCTGTCGGAACGACTGTTGACTACTTATGACGTCTGCTCATGTTGGTAATGGTGGGGCAGGTCAGGAACGCCATTGTTACGTTACCCCACCATGTCCCTAATCTGTAGGTGTAGTAAGGCTTGGTCATCAGCCTTACTCATGGAGTATGAATAGAAGCTTTTCCACATGGATCAAAGCGTGCGGCCAAGTTTGTAGAATGATTAAAGGAAAGGTTTTCATAGGCAGTTGTGACATCGGAATCTTTAAAGACACGTCAGATTCAAGGCGAGATATCCAAGTTGAAAGAGGTGACAGCTTAAATGATAGTTTGCGGAATGCTTGCCTGCACTTCCCATATCTCCTGCCGCGCATAACAGCCAGAACCGACCTGCTATACTCATTCAGCACTAGTGTCCGCAACGCACTGGAAGTACCATTCTAATCAACGTTAGTTTTATCAATCCATGCTTGATGACAAGTATCTGTACGAACCGTTTTGCTCCACACATTTTGCTCCCTTTACGCACTGGGTGCAGCCTGTCCAGGGCTTGCCGTCGTGCCAACCTCCACACTTGTAGTAGAGAGGCACAGGGCATCTAGTGCTACTCGGGCCGACCTCCTCGGTAGTAGTCTTGGTTGGTGGGACTACAGTCTTTGTGCTTGTTTTGATTGTAGTCTGTGAGGAACTCATTAGCTACAGCGCGAATCGCCGATAGCAAGAAGTGGTTTGAGTCATATAAATAGACAGATGGTGCACTTACCTTTGACGGGGTAGGAGTCGGTTCTGGCTTCTTGCTTGTTGTCGTTACTTTGGTTGTCGTTGTGACTTTGCTCGACGTCGGCTTTGGTGGCTCAGACGTTGGTCGACTGATGTTGTCACTGCAGCGTCCTCCAATACATGTTATGATGTAGGTCTGTCGCGGCTCAAGTTGAGCTTTGTTGGCCGGTACCTGTAGCAGGATCAGTGAAGCACATGCAATAATGACACAGTCACATACGGCTCCACACAGTGTCAAAAGGCTCGCGTACAAGATGGCAACCGTGATGAGATGCATAGTGGTGAAGTAAAGTGAAACTTGGTAAGAAAATGATACAATTTTGAGCGTTTGACTGAGGGCTAAGTCGATTCACATTGAGAGCATCTTATATAGAGTCGTGACTTCAATTGTAGGATCGAGCAACATGGCTTAGTTCTGAATTCTGATTGTCCGCGGCTCCACTGTCAAGAGCATTCCAGCTAGACTAGAACGCCATACGAGGTCTGGCTAATTTGTCTGGGTATTCACCGATATTGTGGCTACGCGATGGATGCTGAGCATCTGATGCGCATGACAGGTCCTTGTGCACCATCAGGAAACGATACCTTTGGGAGAGTTCATGATTGAGAATGCAGTTTAGGCACCAATGGAAATAGCAAACTCCGCATCCCAAAGGCCATAATGATGATGTCGACTATGTTGAGATGACCCGTAGCGCGTTGCCTGGTTTGTGAATGGGTGAACTCATCACTGCCTTACTCAGCTTGATCCAATGTCCAAAGGTCGGCTATACCGTACAATCCTTTGCAACTGGTGTGGATTCTATTCTTATCGGGTTTCAAGGCGGTTGGGCGGGAAGGTGTTTTAGCCGCAAATTGAGAATCAGGCCATCCTTGTCTACTTAACAGTCCCACATAATGCTTGTGGTGCTTATGGAAAATGTGATTCTGCACATGGCGCATGAGCAGATTATCCGATGCAAGCAGTGAGAGTCAATCGGGGTCTAATACGGGGAATCCGGGTTGCAACCAGGAAACATGCCTCTGGGCGTGCCGTGATGTTGGTTCGGCTGAATATACAAGTGGAAGAGCTGATGCACAGTGGAAAGTTCCAGATTACCGGGTCCAGGTAACTCGAGTAAGGTCTAGACGGTTAAGGCAATCAGACTATTGACGGCCTTTTAGGTAAGGGTGAACAAGAGCCAGTGTCTAGAGCAAGAGCAGAACCCTAAGCTCACTCGCCAATCAACCCATCTTTTTGCAAGATACTGGGGTCCAATAAATCCCCCACGCCTATCCACTTGCGCACAAGGAGTGCGCCTTGCGGTCTAAGCTTCCTGTAGTATCCCTCCTCTTTGCCCACGATATCGAAGCTCCGCTTCTTGTACCATTCCATGCCCTCCTCGTTTGCCTCCCATACGTGCGCTGTGACAGAACGTACGCTATGGAGGTCGACGGCTTTTTTCACGATGGCTTGCAGCAGGTGCATAGCAATGCCGTGGGAACGATAGGGAGCGAGTACGCCCAAAGTAGAGATGTATAGTTGTGAAGAGGGAAGGAGCCGACACCGCACAGCACCAACGAGTTGCGACTGCTCTGCCGAAGGCTCGTTGGCTTTATCTGCAGGGGACGAGTGCCATACTGCCACGAGTGTGATGCCGTGATGCGGCTCCGTCATGGTCTCTTTATAAAAGGATTCTGGGTACGATATCGGCAGGGTAAGGGTGTTTAGGCGCTTGAATGCCGGCATGAGGTCTTCGGTGAGTGGCACGAGTTGGACGTTGGGTGGCAGAGGACGAAGGGCGAAAAGCTGTGGTTTGGGGGGTTGCTGGACTGGGAGAATATTAGGGGAGGGTATTGTCGAAGCAACAGGAGTGACGGCGCGAGATGAGCGAGGGCTCTTCTTCGACTTGGGTCGCGAAGGTGCTTGTAGGAAGTCATCAGGGATATCATTCCAGTTCTCCATGGCAGAGGGCGTTGGTGTGGTGGTAAGGGGCACGCCGGTTGGAGCAGAAGCCGACTTTGGAGGAGGGGGTGGACGGTTGGTCTTTGGCGGCATGACTACAGGCACATTCCGAGGCTGCTGGTGCTGCTTTTCGGAGCTGGACTTTTTCAGCCAGCTGGTCAGCGAGGACTGCATGGTGGGGTGGCGGGAGAGGGGCGAGTGTGGCTATTAGGGAACGGGCGCAGTTGGAGAGGCTGAGGAGAAAGTTGTAACGAATGACTTGAGAGAAACAACGCGGGTACAAAGGAAGGAGCGTTGTATGAAGTGCTGGGGGTGAAGGGCGGAGGTGTCGGTATATACCAAAAGCCAAATGTCGCGATAGTTGCATGGTGTTTTCCCAGCGCGCCCAACTATGGAGGGATGGCGTGCAGGGATGGCGGCTAGCGTGCTTTTGTCGGCCAAGCCTCAACTCGGACTTCTTCGACCAAGTGCATCATCGCTCCACGACGCCCGCCGTCCCACCATCGCAACAATGGGTGCCGAGAACTCGAAACCCTCGTCTGAGGTCAAGCAGCATGTCTTCTCCCCGTATGTACATGCCCGCCTAACCAATGGCATCCCCCGCGCGCCATGGGCCCAGCGACAAGAGTGACGTCGGGTGCTGACCAGTTTGCGCGCAGAGATCACCCCGTCAGCTTCTCCAATGAGCTGGTCGGCTCGCTGCAGAAGAATCCTTTCGTACGCGCTCTCCAAATCAAAATGGCCGGCGGCGACTGACTGCGAACAGACAGACTCGGCACGGTCAAGACAATTGGAACTTCAGTACCAGGAACGTCTGACAGCTGAACTCGAAAAACTGCGCGCCCAAGAGATTCAGAACTTCAACAAGATCAGCGAAACCTTGTCGGACGAGATCCAGCAACCCAGCGAGCCCTCGCTTGTCGAGAAGATTCAAGATGCCACATCCAGCAGCTCCACGCTCGCTGAAAAGCAGAGGCAAAAGGACATGAGCAGGGACAGCGTCACCAAGGAGATTGAGCGCCTCAAGGCCAAGCTCGAGCAGAGAAAGAAGCTGGAGCAGGCTGACGCCGACGTGACAAAGGCAAAGGAGGCCGTGGTCGCGTGCCTGAGGACCCACGACCGCCGCCCGCTGGACTGCTGGAAGGAGGTGGAGGCTTTCAAGCACGAGGTCGGCCGGCTGGAGAAGGAGTTCGTGCACAAGACAATCTCATGAGTGACGTCACATGCATGTTGTTGGCACGAGCTTCGAGGCTGGTACTTTCTGTATAGATAGATAAGGCGCAGTGAATTAGCCCGGACGTCTTCCTCGTTCTTAGAATCGTTGTGCCAATTGACTCCCAGTCTATGTATCTGCTCTTTCACTGCTTGTCATCGCTCCTCCCAAATTAGTTTGCCTCACCACATTCACCTTCACTGCAAAGCGGCGTCCTCTGACTTGATCCCTTCACTTCACCGCAATACATTAGCGGGGCTGTCTTCATTCATCCGCTACTCCAAGATTCACGCACAAACTCTCTATTGGCTACTTCTGGCCGAACACCTCACCACTACACAAATTGACATTCTTGCGTAGAACAAAGCTCTCAGCAATCATATTTCTTCTCCTAACCTCTACTTTCAGTGCCTAGTAATCGAGCAGCATCACTGCAATATCATTGCAACAGCCACACGCAAACATGTCTGCATCACACCCTTACGTCCTCGATAACGATGACGACAGGCCTATTGACAATGAGGAGAGCGAATTTGATCTAATCGACTATGGTAAAATATCTCTCTAAACATCTTTGCATCTTTCACTAATGCTCTGAGTAGACTCTAACGATGACGAGTCCGAGGTTATTTCTCATAATCCCTGTGCCAGCTCGACTGCCTCTGGACCCAACCTTGCAAGAGCTTCCTCACTTCAGCACCCAGAAGTCTTGATAGAAAGCTACCGCTTGGGCAAAGGTTTAGTTATTAGACCAGAGCAAACAGTCGAGCTGCATGACCACTTGACATATGAAGTCAATATCAGGCATAGTGGTGATTTCCTCCGCGTCAAGTACATCATCATGAACTTGGAGACGGATGAGGTCCGGCTCCGTGGTTATCGAATGCGACGCGTCAAATACCTTGGCCAGTTGTTTGACTGTGCGTATAGACATTCTATCTAGATACACCAAGATTGGCACTAACATTATCAAAGGGAAGTTAAATGAGCTCGCAATGGTACTGCGTATCAAGGAACAAGACGACCGCACTCCACTCGTTGCTGGGCTGGAAGATGTCAACATCGATGAAGTTTACCGCATACGCGATTGTACGCTAACTAATAAGCCGTACCCCTTCCTCAGTTTCCGGACTAGTGGCAGATTGGCTGTGCCTGTTGGCATAAATCAGGAAGAGATTAAACTCCAAATCTTCCATGCAGGGAGACTCACTTGCAGAGTTATCAACATACAATACATGAACCAACACGGCAAATCATACAGTGGCGTTGTCCGCTATCTCTATGGAGAAGAGGCAGACAAACTTGGGAACGTGGATCAGTTGACGCAAGCCGGTGCATCTCGAAAGACAGCAATATCTATCGGAGTTGAGGATGATGATTGCGTAATTGTTACGAAAGATTGCTTTACTTCTAGGAACAGGAAGCGTCGTATGCGCGCCGATTCTTCTGGTTTGGCCACTCCAAGAAGCAAGGCCACATTCAGTAGCAAGAGAGACCAACTGACCTATGGAGACGTCTATTGTGGCGTCGGTGGTGCATCTCAAGGCGCTTTGCAAGCGGGGTACTCAGTTGCTTGGGGGTTGGACAAAGATGATCGCGCTGTCGAAGCTTACAAGCTGAACCACCGTAGTGCTTATGCGTTCAAGATGGATGCACACAATTTTCCGCCACCAGGTATCAGCAAGGAGGCATGGAGGGTAGATGTCCTTCACCTTTCACCTCCATGCTGTTATTGGAGTCCTGTGCAGTAAGTGCTACTGCTTCTTGTTCACTACGTTTAGTACATACTAATGCCATGTCTCTACTAGTACTCAACCAGGACCGAATGACCAAGAAAATTATGAAGCCTTATATACGGTTGGCCCAATCCTGAAGAAAGTCAAGCCTCGAGTGGCAACACTCGAGCAGACCTCTGGTCTATTGACGAGCCGAGCGCATAAACGTAACTTTTTTACGCTGCTCAATGACATTGGCCATGCTGGATACGACTTACAATACAAGATCCAAGACTTGTCAGAATTTGGTCTCGTGCAGCAACGTAAGCGGCTTCTTATCATTGCTGCTAGGTATGTACTTACGCTATACTGTTCTGGTTCCTGTAGGCTAATGTCCTATACCTAGGCGTGGGATGCCTTTGCCACCTTTCCCGAAACCTACACATGGGCCTCCTGGTAGCGGCCTGAAGCCCCTTGTCTCCATCGCAGATGCGCTCCTGCCACTGAGACAACTTGGGTATGAAGCCGCTACCGATCCTTACAACCAACCTCGATTCTTCGCTTCCCCTAGAACACCCTATAACATGAATTCACATCTGAAAGGCTGCATCACCACAGGAGGTACTACCTCATATCATCCCTCTGGCACACGACCGTTCACCGCAAGAGAACTTTCGCTCTTTCAAAGTTTCCCGCCTAACTACCAATTTACTGGATCGAAAAGTGAGGCGACGAAACAAGCAGGAAACGCATTTCCACCTATAATGGCTGAGGCTTTGTACCGCAGTATAGCCAAAACTTTGAAGGCATACGACCAGGACCTGATTGGAGCGGGAAACGTCGAAGAGCTTTGCAGAAATGGCGAAGAGATCATCAACTTACTCAGTGATGACGATGACGATGAAGAGATTGAGATTCTCAGTGACTGAGCCGCCACACAACATCTGGGCTCGTGCAACGGAACAAAGACCGAGCGTAAACATGTGCATGTCGAGGGATGCAAATCATTCCAATGTGGATCTTTATCGACGGTTTCATGCTTCTCGGTTGCATGCGGGGTTCTCTAAAGGGTTTACGTCAAAGGGTGATCTTCTGGAAACCTGTGCGGACTAGGTAGAAAAAAGAAAGTTCTCCGTTTTCTTAGTTCACAGATCGCCGCCATCCCGACGCCAGAAGGAAGTCCTACACGCTAAACGTGTTAGTGGTTACTGTCGATGCGTCCTGTCATGGCAATGTCTACGCGAAGGGAGCGGCTAGACATTCCCGGGGTTTGTATCGTCGAATAACGAAAGATGGTTAGACTTTTCACTATCGCGTGCTATGGCTGAAGATCTTTTGTACATGTGCTTGTGACCAGAATCGATTTTTTTGCGTTATTTGCACGAGGTATCTGCATATTTGTGCAATGAACCAAACTGTAGATGATGTTTGCAAAAAGTAAGAAAAAAACAATAAAATAAAACAAACTGACAACTCCTCGTTGGATGTCCCCTCCCAAGAATATAAAAGTATGCACCTCGATGCGAGCTTCGCTAAACGATGTTTTAGTTCTAAAAATAAAAAAGAGCCTCCGCCAGAAAAAAAAGTAAGTAAAGGAAGACCACACGGATATAAGAAAAATCAAAGACGAAGAGACAAAAAAACCATGGTATCAGACGGAAGGGGAAGAGGAAAACGCGGGTATCAAGGTAACAGCGCCCTGGTCGGGAATGTCGTATGCGTCGTCGGCGCCGGCCTCTTGCTTAGCAGCGGTCTTGAAGCGGATGTCTGACCTGACATCGAGCACCTGGCCCGCCAGCTCGACCAAGTTCTGGCGACACAAGACCTTCTTCAGGACAACAAAGTCAAAGTAACTTTCCGGAAAGTCGAAATGAAGAGCCATGTCAGCGACGTGCAGGCGCGCTAGCGCCTTGCGGAATAGTGGATTGGCATCGGCCATGTAGAAGCCTGTTAGTATTCGCTGGGCCTCTACCCTGTCGTCATTGTCTTTGGTATTGCTGCTGCTGCTGCTGCCGCTGTTGGTAGCATTGCTAACACCACCACTGCTGCTACTGCTGCTACTACTATCATTGCCAATGCCAACAACCACAGCAGGCTCATCGAGATACCGCCGCGTGTCAGCGCACAGCTTGAGACTCAACAGGCGCGTTTCGACGGCGGAAAGGAGATAAGATAAGCTTGTGCTATAGCGCTGCGCACCGACGCACACGGGTTTCCAGATGCCCGTCCGCCGGTCGCGAATCGTCTGCATGCTACGTGGGTAGTAGAGCAAATCTATCTCCAGATGCCGGACGAGTGGGAGATCGCGGAGTTGCAGTGGCGGCTCAAAGGCTCCGGACCCTTCTTCTTCTTCGTAGTCGTCATCGTGGTCTCCGCCCGGTTGACTGTCGCTCCGTGCTGGTGGTGCTGGTGGCGGCAACGACGATGGTGGGATGGATGTGATGTAAAAGGTGTTTTTGCCAAAGAAGACGGATCGCGCTTCGTGGTGAATTTGTCGGTTTGTTCGTAGAATGGCTGTGTGCAGGTCGTATGTTTTGTCCTGTCGCGCGAGTTGGCCTTTGAGGGGCGTTGAGGCGACGAGCAGATGCGAGTAGATGTTGATACGGAGTTCGGGCGGAAGCATGTCCAGAAATGCGGAATGTGTTGTGGGAGCCATGATTGGATTATTTTTCTTCCTGAGAAGACGTGGGGAGCCAGTCGTTTAAGTAATCTGGCGAGAGTCTGGCTTAATGTTTTTTTGGCGTAGTTGTAGCACACTTGTTTTTTTTCTCAATGTGACGGTATATATATTTGCTGATAGGGTCTGGACGGAAGGACGGTTCAGGCAATAATAAGTCAGATCCTTCACAAGAAAAAAACGACGCCCCAATCCCTGGAGTTTGTGGCGACACACTCAGTCATCAACGAATTGATCACAAAAAAAACAACAGCGCGGCACCCCTGGTTCTTATCCTCTTCCTTTGATGCGGTCCGCGCCATCAAGTGACCCCGTCCACATCGTCACTCTTTCCGAAGCACGTCCAATTTGTAACGCTTGATTCGCTCCACCTAGCGTTCTAGGAACGATATAGCCAGGAAGCCCTTTGCCGGCAATGTCTAGGAACCCTACCAGCAAGACGTCCATGCGCCCAAACACACCCTTCCAAATAGCCCCCCTAGACTCCACCACGCTTGACTTGCGGATCATCGATGTCCACAGGGATTAATTAGACGCGATATACTATGAGCGAGCTAGTGTTGTTCGGATGCATGTAGCCTGGCGCTTGTGTCTGTCCAGGAAAAGATAAAACTATGGCTGATGGTTCGGGAACGCAACTGCTGGGGAGGGCACGTCGAGCGGCTGACAGGGCCCTTTGTGCAATGGCCTTTTGATCAAGCAAGAATATGCGTAGCCAAATTCCTAGTGCGTTTCTGGAAACGATAGAACAAGACAGCGCGCCCACCACCCCCTCTCCCCCGGCGCGGAATTCGTTTCGCATATCAGCTACGCCAATGGTTTCGTATCCCAGGCTCTCCGAAAGCCCTTTAGCGACGGACGAGTACGCGCGAGCTTAGCTTTTTTTCCTTCCTGACGAACCGTTTTTTCTCTCTCGGCGGCGGGAATTACAGTGCTTGCGCAAGAGGGAGAGAAAAGCAAATGACCGAACCTGTGTATATCCTCGCAAGATGTCAGCATCGTGCCACGTCTGTATGTACACATACGAGAAGTGTCGAGCTATCTGTCCACCATGGAGGCCTGTCCACGACTACTGTACGGCCGTACATCGATCGGTCAAAACTCCTGGGACCTAAACCGCGTCCCCCTCAAATTTACCTAATCGGGCAGACTCGAGTAAACTGCAGCGTGCCCTGGTTATTTCCTCTAAAGGCATCTGTCTCTTTGTTTTCGGCCAAAAGCACCGAGCAAGCGGCGGCGCGCCAATTGTCTACTGCTTGTCCCCTTTGAAATGTCCCGCCCATCTTCCATGAGCTATTCAATACACGAGATTTCCAAGCGGGACAAAAAACTCAAAGTCCTTTAGCCCTTTTTCTAATAGTTAAGTAGTGTAACTGCCCCAAAGTTCAATCTCATTTTGTTCAGTGTGGCTATTTAGCTAGTGTAAGCAGGCACCAAGAGCGATTTGGGACTAGTGGTAGTTTGGCAAATGTTAAGCACAGCTTGGGGGTGGCTAACAAGCAAAAATTACAACTCGTTGAAGAACTTGTCGACGCCACAGAGGCGAACGGGAGCGCACATGGAGCCCTGGGGGGATCAACACGCCAAAAGAGTGGTTGCAGTCGTGTTCGCGAATGACAATCGAGCCACAACACGACGCCGCTCCGTACACGTGCACATGGATCATCGAGGCCCCCCAAATGACAAGTTCCAAAATAACGACTAGAGTATCAGTCAAGAAGAGCGTTTTGCACCAATCCAAGCAACCTTCGGGCCTCATCCTCTCCACTCGACTGCCGCAGAAGCCGACGGCATGCCCCGAGTCGAGGTGCGCATTATCATGTTTCTGACGAATATACAGATTAGAGAGGCGGAAGGATTCATAAGCTTCTGCTCATTAGGCCAATGGAGACAGTTATGGAAGTATGGATGTACTATAGCTTAGATGCCTGGCATGCCGATCAGAGAAACCTCCGAGCCAATGCCGCAGCCCTGCACCGCGCTCTTTGATCTGTATCGTTGTATCTTCGGCAAGCCGTTGGTTCGTTCACCCTGAACCCCCGTCGTCGGGCGCTTGGGGCGCGCCACCACCCGTTGCTTCGCTTGCAAGGAAGAATGGCCAGGGAGAGAGAGAGAAAAGAGGACGGGTTGTGTGGCTGTCCAATCTGCGCCGCCTCGCCCCCTTCTTCGCCCTCTCGTCCCCCACCATGTGTCCGGATATGATTCCGCCCGCACAGCCCACACTCAAGGGACTGATCTATGCCTCTCTTTGTTTGCCGTGCATCGGGCATACAAAAGCGCATGCTAGGATCGGGCCGTTTGCGTGGCGGACACGCAAGAGAAAGACAGAAGAAGCTGTCTAGAACGGGTGTGCGTGAGGGTGGATACCAGGACATGCGCGCGCGTGTGTGGGTGGGTGGTGATGCAGTGCATGTGCGGCTCCGTAGGCCGAGACATGCAAGATGACAGGAAGGCAAGCCGAACGACTCCTTGGGCGTGGAAAATGGGGAGTTTTCCTGCGTTCAATTTGTTGCGTGGTATGACGCCAGAATCGTACGATTTCAGCAGTGACCACCCCCGCGTGCCATGGGTTCGTCAACGCCTTTGGCATGGTGCCGGTTACCTGCAGAGCCAAGCGTGGCTACATAAGGAACGACCCTGATCGGCAGCCGGTCAAACCAGCATCATGGGCTTGGGAAAACAACAGCAAATTGCAAAGCCCGAGTGACATGTTATGGACGGGCGGTCAGCGGGAAAAAGGCACCGTGGGCGAGGATCCGATTCGTGTGTCGAGAGTCATGGCAGATGCCGCTGGGCGCGTCGTCAGCGTCAGACGGGAGAACGTCGGTCAAACCATGTCAACACTACTCGATTTCTTCCGTCAACTAAGAACAATGGCACAAACACAAAGTGCTTCCGATGGCATGGGGTTGGTGTAAGCACAGCAGCGGGTGCGATAACGCACTTGAGCTTGGTAAAGACGTTAGGCGCATTGGCAACCCCATACCCTTTCCACCCCCCCTCACAACCTCCCCACAATTCGGCACTTGAGCCTCAAAACGGTACTGTCTCTGACTATCCTTCTAGAACACACGAAGACTATGGTGTGCATTTTCTTGCACCAGAATGCAAGGAACTAACAACAAGCAAAGCAACACTTCCATGGAGATACATGCCACCCGATTTTCACTCAACAAGTACAGGGTTCAAGCAAAATAAGACTTGCCACATACGTGCACCTTTTTGCGACCCCTCTTCTCTCCAACCACGACAATGTCACGTCCAAAACACACCCAAGTAATTCAACAGCCGTTATTGACTCCCGAACCCATTTTGCCCAGGATGTCAAGAGTTCAAACTCCGCAAATCAAGCCCGGGATGGCTTTCATCAACCCAAGCCCCCAGCCCTCGTCCCCGCGAACCCTGTTCTCCCCGGTGCCCTGGGGTATGAACCGAAAACCTCCCACTCCTCTTGAGCCGCGTGCCACTCCTCTAACCGAGCTAAACCCCAGATGAAGAGGAACGAAGAGCTGCATTTCCTCCTTTCCCACCTTCTAGACAATGGTACAAAAAGTCGGGCACTCAGGCAAAATGTTGACCAACATTGACCAACATTAACTTATCCATTGATCCTTGGTCCCGTCCCGTTCCAAGTCACTACAGCCACCTCGCTTCCCGCCTAGGCCCGCCATCAAGTCACGCCAGGAATTTCAAATCTCCGTCCTAGGTCCCGCAGGGGGCCGGGGAGTGGAATTAAATCCGCGAGATTCCGGGGGCGGGGACATGTGTGTGTGTGTGTGTGCGTGCGGAAACCATGTAAGATACGAGTGGATAGAGTACAAGACACGCTCAAATGAAGCGAATGAGATCTAGGGGAACATTGTGCAAATTACCAGGTCACATCATTACCCGAAAAAGCCTGGTATGGAAACATTAACCAGGACGGGGATGTGTAAGATACGCTACGCCCAGAGCCACATCTGGAGTGAGCAGCATCAGGGATCCGTAATGTAAGATACACCCATCTGGTACCTACACTCTGGGCGCAGGGACGGGGACCAGGGATCCGTACGATACACGCCGAGTACCACATGAGTGAACAGCATCAGGGTCATGTTCCAAAAGTCGACATCCGACACTTGCCAAGCCAATAAGTATGTGTAAGATACACCGTACATCCGATCTGGGCGCCAAACAAACAAGGACACTAATATCTTACATACTTACGGCCACGTTCCGGCAAACAGAATCAGGGTCAGACCCAAAGGCCAAGCCACTAAGCTAATACTTACGTGTAAGATACAGACCTCCCCTGCATCCGCGCTGGGCAACATTACAAATCCGACTTACATTCAATACGCATTCACACGCACACATACACCACAGACGTACATCTTACCCAGCGAAAACTCACATACCCACCTTTACCAAACAATCATTTGTCAGGATCCATCCGCCTAGATCCTAACTTCCTCACTTCTTCTTCTCTTGTCCGCCTCAACCACAACATAAGATTTACCCATACCCCAGCCTCATCGGTGAATCTCACCCGCATACCGCATACGCATTCCCACCTATAACCCTCATCCACATGATGTCGTTTTTACCTAAGCTGCACAATGTACCTTGCGCTTTTACCCTGCACTCTTACCCTGCGCTCTTCTCCGGTAACTCCGTAAACCCCAGGGGGACCATTGTGTAGCGAGAATATATTTCTCCCATATCCACCGCATTGAGCGCTAGACCCGGGTTCCGCGCAAAGAAGGAAAAAAATTGCTTAGTTTTCTTTTATCGTAGTGACCGTAGTTACACGGGTGTTGTAGTACCCCTTGAAATATCTCAACGTTTTTTTCCATCTTCTTCCCATTTAGAAACAACCGCACCCGCACATAGCGCCAGACCCCGTGTTCCGCGCCAGGAAAAAAAAAGTTGCCTACTCCTTTCGTACGTACGAAGTACACAACTTAGTAACCGGGTAGTGCGCGTAAGCAAAATCAGCCAAGGCTAAGTTCAAAACCCGGGAGGGCCCGTTATGTGTCTTGTATCTTTCACTATTCCCCCCTCCCCCCACCACACACCAGCGCCTGACTCGGGTTCCGCGCTAGACTGCTTACTTTTCATAGTAACACATGGGAAATGAGGGAAAAGGCCGGAAAGATGGATTAGGGGGAGGGGGGGTTATTGAAGAATATTATACGCACTCTCGGATCACTAATTCGGTTAGGTGAATCGGAAAACATAGATGTGTAGGCAGGGGGGGGGGGGGGGGAAGATATGATCTTGTAATTGAAATAATTAAAACTAACTATCCTTTTCTTTTCATTCTTACTTTGAGGCGTGTTTTTTTGTCTTAGTTTGATAGTTTGATTATTACATTCCAAATCTAACATTACTCTAGTCTCCATCCCCTTTTACACCTCAACATTTTTTTTCAATACTATAGCATCTATTTTCCCTGGGAGATCGGAATCAAAACAATATTAGATGAAATTACCCGATTCAGCCATGTACGCGAATGGGGTTTCAAAATACGAGGGTAGGTAAGCCATTATAGCGGAACGGTATCGCAGGTATGTGCAGTAGATGTATCTGTGCGGGGTTTGAGGAGGGAGTAATGAGGAGAGTATGCGGCGTTTGCGCTGGGAGAGGAAAAATTGTAATAGAGAAAAGAATGATTCATTTCAAGACTCATCGGTATGAATATCGAAAGTCTAGAGAAAAAAAATACCAAAAAAATTACATTTCATTCATTTAGGACCGAGTGTAACATCCGGCTTTCTATTCCCCCCCCCCCCTCCCCGTTTTCTTAATTCGTATCGTTACTAACATATCCCATAAATTCATCAAAAAAAGTCATCAGACATCGTAATTCCAGCCCCCCAGCCATGTCATAAACCTCATACATATGAGCGGCACGATAAGGGCAAACAAAAACAGACAGACAAGCCTGAAAAGGAATGTACGGGTACAACCCAAAGGGAAACCTAATAATACACTAAACATGGTACGATTACCACGCCATCATGTCTCGGAAGCTCAACCTTAATAGTCCCTCCTCCGATGTCTCCTCGTCTTAACCGGCGACCCATTACCCTCCTCATCGCTGCTAAAATAGTCGTAATCATCCTCGTACTCGTCATCACGACCATAGTCGTATCCACGATCAGGGCGGCGATCGCGCCTATTATCGTCTCTGGAACGCTCGTCTCCCCTACTACGCTCCTCTCTGCGCTGATACTCGTCGCGATGTTCGGTAGTAGGACCGCGAGATTTGGAGCGAAGCCGGTTGATAATACTGCGGCTTCTAGCGCGCAGACCAGGGGCTTTGCTGCTGCTGTCCTCCCGGTCATGTGGGCGAGTGCGCGAGCGGGAGCGAGAACGGGATGCAGAACGGCGGTCGCTTCGACTCCTGCTTATGCTGTCAGAAACTCTTTACGATGGGGCCACAACAAAAGACGCATGGCTGTATTGATTGTATGAATGCAGTACAAACGCACCTTGAACGTGTCGCCAGTTGCCGGGCGCCGAGCGCACCTGCCGCTGCTCCTGCAAGCGTCGTCAGTCTACTTTTACCCATGGTCCTGCCTGCAATTCCGCCAGCCAACGCACCTCCCACTGACGCCGCCAGCCCTTTCTCGCGAAGGTCCATACTGTCGAATCTACCACGCACTTTAGCCATGCGTGAATCTTCTCGACCATGGTCCTTGCTAGAATGGGATCGACGGGAGTGGGAGTCGGCAGACCTGGCTCGATTCCTATGCCCATGTTCGCCACGGTGCCGGTGGCTGCGGTAGGGGTCTACAGGAGGCGGGGCATATTGGACGACGTCTTCGCGCGCAACATGAGGAGCATAAGTTGGATACGGTGGGTTGGGCGTGGGGCTGTAACCAGGCTGAGAGTTCGATCTTTGACGGCTGAATGGCGGTGGCGATGGTTGATATCCCGCGAACTCAGTATGATGGTAGGGGTTCAAGGGCGAGTTTGAACCAACTGGTGGCGGAGGAATAGAAGCATCACTCATTGGTGCAGCATTATATGCACCATTGGGAGCGTATCGAGAGTGGCTTCGATGGGCATCCTGCTGCGTGTAGTCTGAATCGACGCCTCGGGTTGAGGATGGTGCTGGCTTCGGGGGATTAGTGAGTGGACGCTGAAGCAAGGCTGCGAGAGGCGGCTCATATGACGGGGTAAAGGAAGCAGAAAGTGGAGAAGCACGAGAAATATTGTCAAGGAAACGAGGTTTAGACATCAAGGGACTTGACGGCGTCGATGTGGTCCGGCTCTTCGACATCGGCCGACTCGTGTCCGCCGGTATCGAATGCTCGGGCATCGTCGCAAGTGTCGCACGTCGAAAAGAGGAAAAATTATTTACCTGGGGCGAGTATCCGTATGTAGGCGTTGCCGATGGCTGGCGTTCTTGGCCAGGCACCGGGCCGGGAGCATACTGCTGGGGCTCGTAGGGCTTGTATTCGGATGTTGGCGGAGGAGGAAAATAGGGCTGTCTTTGGTCGGGCTGGGCCATGATTTCTTGCGATTCGCTACGTGAGCCGTCAAAATCACTGCTGTGCTTATGACGTCGGCCTCGACTTGGACTTCTGCTAGAACTTCTTCCAGCACTCCTTGCACGTCGTCGTTCTTGCTTTCTTGGCTCGTGATCACGGTCGTAATTGTATTCTTCGGCAGACTGGTCGGATGGACTGAGGTCTCTTCGTGAGCGGCGTGCGCTCGAGTGGTCTTCGCTCCTGTATCGTTGTCTGGTCTCGTTTTTCTGACGGTCTTTGCGGTCCTTTCCAGCGTTTTTCTCTTCTTGTGGGGTGAAGTAACCGCCTGGGATCTTGTGAAAAAACTTGTCGGGAATCTGCTCTGCGCCGTAGCTAAGAGCCTTGAAGGCGAGGGCCGCCATCTTTCAAAGGGTCCACAGAATCCGGATGTCGGAATGTGACGTAGGTTTGACTTATGCGCCGCACTCTGATTGGAGCGCACTCAACTGGGCCGAGCAAAAAGACGGGGGAGCCTGGCTAGGAGGACGGGGTGCAGAAGTTCTGGGTATGAGAGTGGTGGATTAGAGAGCAGATGTTGTAGAATGAGGAATATGCGTCAAGTTGGGAGCGTTGGGCTAGTTAAGGTCGCTGTTGGCAGTGTGGACGTTGGAAGAAGCAAGGTGACTGAGGTGCGTGCGTATGTGAGATGGTGTGCGATGTGGCGAGTGGATCTTGATGAGCAAGGGAGCAGGAGGCAATCAGCCTGGTATGTATATCCTCACTGGGCACCTGCGCTTAAACCCCACGATATACCCCGATTTGATGCTTCAGGGCGAGCCAGTGCCAGGCGCGTTGGCGAGGTGGCTGCGATGACGTCGTTTCTAGTCCTGGTGGCTCGTGCACTCTTGCTTAATTGGAGCCGCATCTCAAAGATCGCCTATATGCCTACGTACCATGGGAAATAGACCTATACGAGCAAAATGGTAGCTCCATGTATGTCGCAATCATGGATGTTGCATGTTCTGAAGGATTCGAGACATTCCATGACTGCTGCTTCACAATCACTGCGCCGCAACTGCAAGAGGCCATGGACACATACACACATACACACAAGATGCCAGTTAGTGCCCAACACCCTCTTGTGTGATCCTGGATACGATATAGAATTGCCACAGAATTACCACTGTTTCTATTTTGTATCACAAACCCCATTCTACTGCTAGTATGAGTACTATGGCCGGTGTAAGCGAAAAAAAATCAAGGCCTGGTCTGGTCAGGGTACGACCCCATCCGCTTACTAGCCACTGGGCCCTAGCAGCTAGTAGTATCCATTCACGCAGGGGTGTCTCTTTTGTGGGACTACTTAGCCTATTATAAAAATGGTAATGCGTTGGCAAGGCTCGTCAGCTTCGCGACCCCGGCCACTCGCATCTATGGAGCCAATGTGCGATGACGACATGTTCCATCTTCTTTGCTTCACCGCTTTCATCACACATCACGCGTGCACTCTGTGGCTTGCATAGCAGTCGAGCATTCAGTCGTCACTGTAGTACACATTGCGAGCAAAGTGCCAGTAGAATCCATGTACTGTAAGCGTGGGTATCGCCGCCATCCAAATTATCCAAACGCCACCGCTCAAACAAAAGATTACAACAAAAAGGGCTTCCTTGGGCTAGGACCACAATCATACCTCGCCCATCGCCGATTTACGGCTCACCAGCAGTGACAGCGACATGGTTGCGCACTTCGCCTGCGGGTCTGCCAGTGCTATCCAACACTTCAACCATGTCGTCGACCATTCCAAGGAACCTTTGCCTGTATTCATCGCTCGAAGTAGTGATGCTCATCGGACCATGATCCTTTCCGGGCTTCAGCGTGTTGAAGAGCTTGACCAGGCCTGTCAGCGTTTGGGCTTGAAGCGCATCTTTGGCCCAGAAGAAGTCAAGGATGACGGCCCTATAGACCCACTTGCCGTCGCGGGACACCAGACCACTACGCCATGAGGATCCACGTCCTGGAGGGGGCGGGATCTGGCTATTGTCGGCAGTGCTTAGATTGGCTGGATAACGGACAAGGAACAGCGAGTAGTCGACTGCGTTGTTTTCCTGCAGGATCTTCGAGTCTCGCGAGAGTTGCGCAATCAGCTCCTCCTTTTCATCAATCGTTACCCGCACCTTGTCGTTGAACTCGTCAATGAGGCGCTCCTTTACACTCTCCGGTGCCAGTCTGCCGTTTGCTATGTCGCGTTCGGGGTAGAAGTAGTCGTTTGGCTTGAGATCATACGTCTCCCATTGTTTCTGGTGGTGCTCGCTGCAGGTGGATTTTCCGTAAAGGATGTTTTCCATTATGATGTGATGACTTGGCGCCGTACCCAGTGCAGCGCCAACAGTCACTGTGGGGCAGTAGAGGAGATCGGTGATGCGGACCAGGAGGGAGTCTTGATTGAGCTCCATGTGCTCAACATAGGGATCGAGAAGACGGTTGCGGAAAAATGACTGTTCGAAATGCCGTGGCAGCGACTTGACTAGGAACTTGGAGTTTGGTGTTGTGAAGAACGTCTACTACGAATCAGTGAAAGGATTCATCAAGCATACAATAGCTGGTGTTCGCGTACCGATCCCGAATAGCCCAAGTCCCCAACTGCTACCAGGTCTGTCCGCTTACTGCTGCTAGGGCTGCGGAAACTCTCCGTGTATTCCTCCTCTTCTATTCCCCACGTTTCGTTTCTCAGCATCTTAAATAATGACGCGCGAAATCGCGCGAGGGTAAGGTTGAAGAGGGCGAAAAATGCGTAAATGCGCGCCCATAGGCCGAGGCGTCCATTTTCATCTTTCCTGGGAGAGTCGGACTTGAAGACTGCGCGGAGGATCGAAGTGCTGATGAGACGATCGCGGCGTCCCATTTTGAGCTGTGTGCGATATGGTCAAGTAGGTGATTGTGTAGAGCTGTCAGTGTTGTAGACATGTGAAGCGCGCTGTTACCAAGGACCGCTATGTCGTCGTGACGTCAACGCGCTAAAAGGTCGACGAGCTTGAGCAGCCAGTTTGTGCAACAGAGCTTCACCAATAGACATTGTACTAGTTTCTTGGTAACTCAGAAAAACACTTGGACACTTCTCAGAAGAAATCATATCGACATCTGGCTGGACTCGGCGATGCGGCTGATGAGTTCGTCTTCTGCTGCAGCTAACATTTAGCTTCCAGGGCGGCCGCCACCACAGGGGTACCGGTGTTCTTTTGAGCCATGCTTTTTTTGTGGAATTGACTACAAAATGTCTTGAAAATTGGAAGTCCATGAAATATCACTGGTGCCAATTCAATGAAGATGGGTTGGGCCCGAGAGTCAAGGTAATGATCATATATACTCTGGAAGCATTACCATGACACCAAGCATCCCTGCCAGACTCTGCACATGTTCTGGGGTGCAAAGACGTCTCAACAATATTCTTAGATGCCTCACTATCCCCGCAATATTAAGTATTCGCTATTGAAAACCTAGATAGCAGCGGGACGCAGTCGTCGGCTGCCGTTATCAGATTAATATACACCTGCAGCAACGATGTCTATTGGCTCTGTTGAGATCCTTCTCCGCGGCAAATTGCGGAGAGAGCCTTCGTCCCGGTAGATTACCATCTTGGCAAGATCACGCAGTTGTGAACCTCAAACGAGGGGTCTATTCCTTATATCTTGCGAGTCTGGACCGTGGTGTGACAGTGGCTTGTAACCTCACCAGCCGTGTATACAGAACATAGCCATTGGTCTGGAAGCGTCTGAAAAGGCGCCCTGCCAAGTGCATGTGTGTATGATCATGGCGATAGACCCTTGAAGCCATAGAACCTTCCTCTTCAACTTATCCCGGCGGTGAGGTTGACGGCTTGAGCCCCCACATGGTTGTGCCTCTCGCATTCATTGTAATAGTAATCGAGGGGTCCCTCCTAGGCGTCCGGCCTGGCTATTGGTGGTCTTCATACTTTTGTTGGCAAACTATCGAGTGGATGCCGTGTGCTACCGCTGCAGGGTCATTGCGACTATGCTGACACGTTAACTTTATTCAGCATGTTACGACTAAACATATAAATTCTGCTTAAGCCTCGGTGTACAAAGTGAGAGCGAATACTCAGCAACATACACTCGGCTTACAGTGAACTTGACATACGGGCTTACCAGCAATCTTTGTATCTTTTCCCAAGTCTCGACCCCAATCTTGTATTTACAACATACCCAAGTCACAACATGGCAGCGGCAGATGTCCAACAACCACCTGTGGAAGAGGCAGCGCCCGCACTGCCAGACTATCTCACAAATCCCAATGCTGTCCTTGGAGACAAGGAGGCAAAGTGGCGATATGGACGAGCACCAGATTACACCAAAACACGAAAAGTATACGCCGAGAGTAAGTTTCCCAATTTGGAAGTGGTGCGGCGGTGATTTCCTTTTGTGCTCATCTAATTGCACACGGTAGCAAAGCAAAAGACACACGAAGCCGGGTCTCTGCCCGAGCTGGTCGAAAACCTAGTCAAGAACTGGGAAGTGGAGGCGTCGTTCAAACCAGACATTTCCGACTGGCGCACCATTGACACAGCAAACTACTCGTTTGCCATCAACGGAGGCGAGGCTGAGGGAGCAGAAGCCATGCTCAAAGTGGGCACGTACAACGCCATTATTGCGCCAAACGAGTACTACTCACCCGAATACTCGGACTTTGCGTCGTCGCACAAGACATTCAAGCGCATGATGCCGACGTTTGCGTGGGAGGTGCTTGAGGTGTATAGTGGACCGCCAACAGTCAGTTTCAGGTGGCGACACTGGGGTATCATGAAGAACGACTATGTAGGATTCAACAACAAGGGGGAGAAGGTGACGGCCAAGGCGCACGGAGGGCCGATTGATATCCAGGGCGTGACTGTCGCGACGGTCAACGACAAGGTGCAGTTGCGCGAGGTGAGGACGTGGTTTGACCCCATGGACATGTTTAGGCAGATTGCGCCGCACGGTGTGGTTAGCAAGGAGAACAAACCAGCCCATGTATCACCGGCGGATGCGCTGGATGAGGCGCAGGCTGGTGTCAAGGTGCCAGAGGAACAGGAACTTCCTGATGCTACTGTACAGAGTAAAGAGGAGTTTGAGCGGACCATTGTCGAGATTGATAAGAAAAGGGCAGAGGGCCAGAGAGCACAAGATGTACCGGATGGCCATGTTGATGTTTCCAGTGCTCAAGGCGATGTCGGCGCGTGTCCATTCATGTCTGGGGCGACGCGTTAAGTGTGTGTTAGAGTAACGAGGCTGTTGATTACAAGACTGACTAGTTGAGGGTTAGTAGGCCTGTGGGATGGCCGTTTAGCGTATTATTTTGGTTTTGATTATGAACTCCACCATCTTGTGCATGCTAGCTGTCTTTCCCTGTACTGGGACAGACCGAGGATCCATATGTGAGTCAAGTGGCGAACAGTCTCGGTCTTCTGAGAAGCATCACGATGGGCTCTATGCCAAGAGAGGAAAACAGCAGATATGGTATTTGTTTGGTTCTTGCCAGATTGCAGTATTGGCGATTTTCACATTGCAGTAGTATCTGCGTAGGCATCCATCTCGCATTATCAGCAGTCAGCCGAGGAACGAGCATATCCACGTGTGCATGTTTGGTGGAGACGGGCGGGCCTGCATTTCTTTACTCATCAATGACTGTACGGTGTAGACTGTGTCGGTGGCCGGTTTGATTCGACTAGTCAAGGGGGAGATGGAAGTCCTTCCTAGTCTGGACAGAAGTCACGTTGGTGTTGGAATCATAAGTGGGGCTTGCAAGAAATACAGACGCAGCTGACCAATGTGGAAGCGGCGATATTCAGGCTGCATGGAAAACAGTGAAGCTGAAGCGTCAGTTGGAGGAGCAGGTGGGCGGTGGCCTTGGGCGAGGGGCCGTAGGTAGAGGAGGGTGTGGTGGCAAGAGGATGGATGGACCCTCGATGGGTTCGTCGGGCTGGTGGTGCAAAGGATGCCGTCTGCCGTAGTCTTGGGCAGGTGTGGTGACGAAAAGGTGATACATTGGCAGTGTGTAGAGTAGATGGAGGAGGTGTAGACGTCCAAGCCATCCAAGCCGGGCGTTGCCTGTTGCTTGCCCAACTGTGCTCTTGGCGCCATATGTAGGGCTCGGGTTGTAGGCAGCAGTGAGTCATAGCCTCGTTTGCTCACCCCATCAGCATCGTCATGATCACCGCCACAGTCGCGGTATTTGGCCGCCTTGGGCTCCATACGGGCTCATTGTCTTGATGGCCCGTGGCGATGGCGATGATGGTGGTATTAGTAGTCATGGTGGTGTCGATGATGATAATGATGATGATGATGATGATGGTGGTGGTGGTGGTGGTGGTGGTGGTGGTGGTGTTGATAGTGCACATGCGGGAATGATTTTTCGCAGCCGTGGATCGAGGCCATGGTTGGGGGAGGCCTTGTGGCGGGCTGCACCTGCACTACGCTGGGCTACGCTGGGCTGGGCTGCTCTATTGGCAGTGTTGCAGTTGCAACAAGCGGGGGTGGCTAGCGCACTTGGATCCGGCCTCGCTCCGCCCACACCGGAACAAGTCGCGTTCCGGGCGAGTGCGAGGAGGGCAGTGTCGGAGAGGCAGGCCGACGAGAATGGCACAGGAACGCTGGGCTGTGTGCGTCATTGGGGGGGGGGGCGGCATTTGGCCGGGGGAGGCAGCCAAATGAACATGGAACTGGAATTGCATCGTCGCATGATGAGATTACGAACGTCGCAGCAGCCATTGAGGCGTCGGCGGTACACAGAGGCCATGCACGGCACGTCCAAGGCACAGAGCAGCCTGTTTGCGGCCTAGCGCGCGTAAATCGGGCCAATGACGGCGCAGCCACACGACCACAGCCGGCCCCCTCATCTCAACCCAGCTGAGGGCAAGCGACGAGGGTGTCACGTCAGAAACCGCCGTCCCGCGCTACTCTGGCACGGAGCGTTGGAGAGCAGACGCGTCCATGGCGGCTGCGAAAAGGGGACGCCGTGTGTCGCAGCAGCTGGGCCCCGTCTTGGTTGTCGTCGTCGCCGTGTTGTAGCGCATTCCAGCGCACTTGGTTGCGTAGGGAAGCAGGGAGGCAGGGAGACAGGGAGCCAGGTGGGCGGCAAACGGCAGACTGGAACCAGCAGCAATAATAGCAGCAATAGCACCAGCACCAGCACAAGCACCAGCTGCGCCAGCCATGGCGGCACTGGGCAGGCCAGGCCATGCCATGCCATGCGACTGCGGCCAGTGGATGGATGCGTGATGATGGATGGGCGGAAGCGTCTCACGCCCCTTTGCGTTGGACTCCTGCACCCGCAGTGCATGCTCGCTACTCTGCATGCGGACAAGACAAGAAGCTGCTCCAGCAAAGGCAGCGACAACAGCAAGACGTTCTCTTGTCGACATGCACAACAACAGCGATCAACGGGCTGCATGGGCGTGTGCCCAAGTGGCGGCGGGCTGCACACGGCGCACGTGGGAACAACAATGAGGCAAAGCAAAGAAAAAAAACCCTGCGCCAGAGCGATGAGTCTTTGGCCCAGGTCGCGCTGTTGTGTGGCAAACAGGCAAGCTGGCCATAGCGCCCTACCTGGCAATGACTGGACCGGGGCGGCGCTGCGAGGGAGGGTACGGGGGTTCCTATTAGTATCGCCAGACTGCCGCCCAGCCCGTCCTCCCTCATCAAGACAGCAGAAATGGACTTCACGACTCCCTACAGCGCGCCCTGGGGCCTGAACTAGGTCTGTCTCATCCACAGTGTCGTCTGTTCTCTGTCGCCATCTCCCTCTGCCGCCTAAACCTGCCTCCCGCCTCCCGCCTTTGTCCAGGTAGCAGTCACCGCACGACCGCCCGTCCGTCGCCGCCACACTGCCGCCTACAGCCTACCACTCATAGACTCATCCTCACTCGTCCCTACTCACCCGCCACCCACTCGACAGTAAAAGGCCCAAGAGCCGCATTCTCTATCCTCCCTACCCCTCAACCTCATCTGTTCCGTACCTGCGTCGCGATACCGCTTCCCCGCCACCGTTGCTGTTCGCGCCTTCCCACCTTTACCGACTCTCCGACCGCCACTTCCTCACACGTCAGAACCTCAGCTCCTCCCACCACCACCACCTCCTCCCACCAGTTTACATGTACACCACCATCCAATAGTAATACACCACACACTCACCACACAACCAACCAACCACACACAATCTCTTCGACAGTCTCCTTCCCCACCATCCCACTGCCAGCGCGCGCCAAGTCGCTCCAGTTTGGTGTTACCGCTGCACGGTAGCCACCATCCTCGAACACTTCACCCACCGCGTTCCAGTACCACAATGTGCTATTCAGCCTACACTGCTTCAGTCACTCGTCGCTCAGAATTCACCATTACTTTCGGAAACAAGGCCTTCATCGGAGGCTTCGCTTGCTAGACTCTTCCCCGCATCCCCTCAGGCTTTCAGCTCGTGCACCCCGCTGTGCAATAGCTGCAACATCCGAGTGCTTCGCGGACAGTCTCCTACAACGGTCTTGTTTCGGTGATTCTGCAGTTGACAGTGACTGGAGTCTTTTTTTCTCTGGTAAACGCATCTGGCAGCTTTTTTCGACCACTTGACACTGCTCGAATCTTCCTACCATTTACGACCTCGTCAACTACCCCTCGATCCTCTTACGTTCTACAGTCCTCGAGCTCTCCAGATCGCAATCACACCACTCGTACAGTCACTCCACCCGTGATCGCCGAGTGCTAAGCGTTCCGGATCAAGATCTCAAGAACATACGTCAGAAGACACAGGGTCGCCCTCTTACGGTTTGTCCCATCGGTTAAGTCCTCGGTCACCCCACGACCACCTCATCACGCTCTTCGCCACCTCTTCAGGTCTACCTAACGGTCAGCACTCGAAGACGTAGTGACAAAGCATAGTCATACCTCTCCACTCCTTCCTTTATTGTCCTTTCCCTTTTATCAGGTCCAATTCCTGTCCACACACACTTTCCTAAACATGAGTCTCGATATCCCCCGTTCAAACTACGGCTTCTTGCCCGAAACACACCCATATGCCGCCCCCCTTTCTTCTTCGGCATCCTCTTCCACCTCATCAGTATTCTCAGACGCTGCATCACAGACATCCAGCGCAAGCTCCAGATCAACCCATTCCAATTGGGACTCGGAAGAATGGAGTCGCAGCCAGGCCGCACAGTCATCCGCTGTCGACGCCACCAGCCTTTCTTCGTTTCAACAACTTAGCAGAGTAAGCACTTTCCCTCAGTACCAACATGCAGCATGCCGCGACTCCATGCCAGAGAGGCTCCCTTCTCTGCGCGCAGAGTTCTTGGTCCCACCGGAGCAGCGACAGAATCCACGTCGATCGTCGGCGAACGTCAACCAAAGACCTCCGCCCCAGCTCGTCCGGCAATCCGATCGCAAGGTCAACTTCGTCGATTGCCTCGTCGGTTAGTACCCACTTTATCCATGGCCCAAAGACCACTCCGCTGATTTTTCCCTCCTTCAAGATTCCGCTACTCAAATGGTAGAGGTCATCTGGCAGCTGTCTGAGCCCAAGAGCCGCTGTGAGAATGCTTCTGGACGCGGAGTACTTCCTCTTCGCATGTTCATCCAGGAGACTCTCCGCCGATCACGCACCAGCTACTCTACGCTCCAGGTTGCTCTGTACTACTTGATTCTCATCAAGCCCCACTTGCCCAAGCATGACTTTACCATGTCACAGCCTGAAGACGCTTCTCTTCGCGCCCTCCAGTGCGGTCGTCGCATGTTCCTTGCTGCGCTCATCCTCGCATCAAAGTACCTGCAAGACCGCAACTACTCAGCTCGCGCGTGGAGCAAGATCTCTGGCCTCAAGGTTTGTGAGATCAACACCAACGAAATAGCTTTCCTCGAGGCTGTCAACTGGAAACTCCACATTGTTGATTCGATCTGGGAGAAGTGGCAAGAGGTCGTTTTGCGATATACTCCTACCCTTCCCCCTCCTTCACCCGGAGCTTCCATTCTCAACCACTGGAAGGATGTCATTCCCATGTTGACACCTGAGCTGGAAATCATTGAGGTGACCCCCAAGGCTTCCAGCGCTCCTGTTCGCCCGCCATTGAGGACACAGCTGAACGCATCGCCCTACCGTCAGCCATCTCTTGACGGATGTGGATCGCAAGAAAGCACGCCAACTTCCTCTCTCTACCAGGTGCCTCGTTTCTTGGAGCCAAAGCCAGACCTTGTTCGCACACCATCTCTGCCGTCCATGGCTCGCTTGGGTCCTCTGCCTACGCCTTCACTGACACCGCAGCCAATTGCCAACAACACCCCTGTTGCGGGTGCCATGTCTTTTGGACTGCGACGTCCGTCAATGTGCACGGCAATGCAACAGGCACAGTGCTCGTCATTGGCGCGCTCTTGCGTGGATCAGTTCAACCCAAGCATCAAGAACGGTCTGGAAGCCTACCACTTCCCGAGTCGACGACCATCCTTGGCTGCATCGAACGGTTCCCTATCATCTCCAGAGTCCATGATCTCGGATAACTCACGCTCATCACGTGCCTCGTCAATCTCGTCAGTTTCATCCGCCGGTTGGGCGCCAAACCAAAGTCAAGCCAATTTGGCCCGACTGGCGACCTGCCGTAGCGCAAAACTACCGTACCCGACGTTGTCCAAGTGCAAGGAGCAATACGAGTACGCCCCGAGCGAGGCCCTGTCCTCTCCTGATCTGGATAGCTTTCACATTGATGATTCGGATTCTTCACCTGCCAAGATTGCGAGCCCTGCCGTTGTCGCTCCTGCTAGTCGTAAGCGCGGAAGGTCGTCTGTTGATCTCCAGCAAAACGTGCGACACCTCCTCCACACCACCCGCTCGGCATTTGATCTTCGCCACAAGACTGTCCTTCCTGACCGATCGGTTGTACAGCCATTCGCCTTTACCTCGCGCAGTGAACCAAAGGGGCTGCAGTCCCCTAAGAACGCCGCGCCAGGTTGCTCGCGTCTACCGGTCCAGAAGGACTTTGGCAAGAAAAGATCATGCTGCAGCACAGAGGCCGCGCAGGCATACCGCCCGCAAGGCCCTGGCATGTGGGCTGGTATCCTATGAATATGACGTATCGTCTACGAATACTGAAAAGCCAAAAAAGAAGGCTTAACGAAGAAAGGGCAAGGCAACATCACCTTCCTATTGATTTACCTTTTACCTTTCACATCTACATCCACACACAATCTCTCTACACGCCCGTGTATATTTTCTTTAACCACGTCCAAATCACTCGGCAGTGTACGTTTTCCTAGTGTTGGAACGGCACAAAAGGGTGTACAACACATGTTTGATTTTGCAGTTATTTAGCTCTCTAGTATACCTAATTGGTTTACTTGTTGGCGTTTTCTTTTTTTCTACATCTCTTTTGTTACATGTTACCAATCTTGGCGTTAACAATTATCACTGGGAAAGCTTGCTCGGTTGAGCAACAGGTGGGAAATATCCTCGATTTGCAGCAAAGGGTGCATTTAGCATGGTCAAACGGATTGCAGGCAGGAAAGGAGTTTCAAAGTTGGCTCGCTCGCCACAATACCCTTGGTGCAGTGTACGTTTACGCTACGGCGGTTGATGACGTGCAGCGCTACATCTAGTGAGTAGATAGTGGTAGTTGAATCAGATGCTGATGATGCATATTTTGTGTTGCTGTTGCTGCTGTCTCTGTGTGATATTTTTTTTTCTTCCCAACTGTCACCATGGGTCTCTCACACCCTCCTCGTATCATTAACATGTCTCTCCCCTTGCCCTTCCCTCCCCATCTCCCTAGCAATTGTAACACTCTCCCTCAGCGCCTTCCCCACCGCCCCCCTCACCCCCATCTCCTCCAACACCATAATCCCCCCAATCGTACACCCCTCCGGACTTGTCCCCATATCCCTCACCTCGCCCGTCTTCCACCCCCGCAAAAACATCTCGGCACTGCCCCTCATACTCCTGTACACTTGCTCCTGCGCCATCTCTCGCGGCAAACCCACCGCCACCGCCGCATCTACCATTGCATCCACGATTACAGCCCAGAACGCGGGCGTGGAACCGCTTACGGCTGTTGTGGCGGCCATGTGGTGCTCGGCGATGAGTGCTGTGGTGCCGAGGGTTGAGAAGAGGGATGTGGCTGTTTCGAGGTGGTGGTGTGGGAAGGGCCGGGAGGACGCGGGGGGGAGTTGGATTGCAGTGTGTGAGTGCGAGATTTGGGCGTGGATTGTGGGGAGGGCGCGGAGGATGTGGAGGGTTGGGTTGTTTTGGGGTGGGGTGGATAAGAGGGTACTAGATAGGGAGGTTGTGGAGAGGCCGGCTATTACGCTTATTACCAACTTCCCAGCTTGGTTGCTGGAGTTGGGGGGTTGCGAGTGGAAGGCAGAGGCTATGGAGGGGATGCTGAGGAGCGAGGTTACTTGCGAGGGGTCGACGGCGAGGAGGATTACGCTTGAGTGTTGGATTGCGTGGGTGATGGAGAGGGTGGAGCGGGCTAGGGATAGTTTTTTCGAAGCAATGTGCTGGGCGAAGAGAGTGCTGAGGCGGGATTCGGATGCAACAGAGGATATGCAGGCTGTGTAGTGGGTGAATTGGGTGGCATCGGGTGAGTTGAGGAGGCCTGAGAGAATGGGGGTGCCGAGGTTGCCTGGTGGTGGTTAGTATGTTGAGTTTTGTGTTTTATGTAGAGGTAGGAATGTGTACCGCAGCCTAGGATGCAGAGTCTTTGTTGGCTCATGATGTTGCTTGTTATCGTGAGTATGAGGGGTGGAAAAGGTGTCTGATCCTGTTCTTTGTGCTAACCCAAAGCACCTCGATCTTATCAAAAAAAAATTACAGCCTCGCGCTTTCTGTTTCCTGGAAACTTGACTTTGCTATTGTCGAGCTTCGATTGCTTGTCTTGTTGATGTTTGAAGTCGATGTTGCAGCTAGCGCCCGCTCCACAAGGGAATACATTTTCCTAATTCGATGAAATGATGAGGGGTGAGCTACTAGCCACTACGTACAGAGTTTTAGCTTGGCGTTGTGGAATTTAACAATCATGTCTACACTCTGTCTCTACATTAACACCACAAAAGCCTTCTCCTATCCTCCTTCCTCAGAGCCACAAACTTATATTTAGCTTGGATGAGGTGGCCAGGTTACTGATCCCGCACGTCATTGATCATAGCTTGGTCAAGCTTTGGATAAGCGTAGTACGTGCTAGGTTCTGGATCTAGTCAGCTTCCGGACCTTGCAAGGCTCGGATCACGGATACCTCACTTCCATAACGCAGAGTCTCAAGCCAGTCCAATAGTAATGTGCATCATGACTGTTGTACACATAGAGTCGGTGAAAAAAAAGCTCCGTGCACCGACGCGGGAGAATGTCAGACTCATTCTGTCCGCTATTCTATCCTCATGGAGTTCTTCGGGATACGTATGTTTCAACAAGAGGTTCGTTCGACTATATCCCTGTCATTTGGTATTTTCTGAATCCGGCTTGATCAACAGGCCAGATGCTTCAAGTCCAAAACAATTACATATATATTACCATCATACGTTACTTTTAGTGTAAACAGTCTCCTCAGATATATAAACAAGATAGTGGAAATATTTAACGTTAACCGTTTCTACATCATACACTCAATTTCTTATCCCCACGCTACCGCTTCAATGTTCAGTGTTGTAGGAAAGAGAATCATACTTACTGGAGGTTCGCGCGGAATCGGCGCAGCAGTCAGTCGCGCTCTCGTCGAGAAGGGTGCCAAAGTATGCATCCTTGATGTTCTTCAAGACCAAGGCAGGCAGCATGTCGAGGATTTGAACAAGAAGGGACCCGGACAAGCGTTTTAACATCAATCTCAAAGGCACATCCTTTGTAGCTCAAGCCGCATTTCCGTACCTAAAAGCCAATGGGGGCGGTTCGATCATCAACTTTTCCTCAGATAGTGCAAACCAACCAATAAGTGCGTTGGGGATATATGGATCAACCAAAGGTGCCGTGACAAATTTGACGCGCGCAATGGCCATGGAATGGGGTCAGCATAATATTCGCACAAACTCTGTCATATCAGCTGCCAAGATGGAAATGGATATGGAGATTAGGAACACCATGGATGCTGAAACTCTGCAACAAACGAAAGCGATGCTTAAGATTGCAATTCCACTAGGAGGAGACCTCCGCGAGGTGGAGAATTTCCCACCTATAATGATCTACCTAACCTCCGACTCAGCCAAGTTTGTCACAGGACAAATTCTTGCTGTAAATGGTGGATTCACGATGGTGCGTGGCTAAGTGTGTATAGTGCAAGATTAAGAATCAGGTGTAATTCCAGAATCTCCAACGTAAACACATGCCCTTTTACAGTCTATACACTACGCTAGTGTAAGTAGATGTGGAATAATCAAGTTTACACCCACAGAAATCTCCTCCTCGCCTCCTTCCTCAGCGCCGCAAACTCATCCTTGGTCCTAAGCACTGCATCGCGATTCTCCACCGCCCGCCGAAGCAAATACCCTACACACTCGCCCATGCTACCCCAAGTAGTGCATTTGAAGACCTCCGGCGATATCCCACCTTTATCTCTTTCTGCAAGCAGCGAGAAACTGACTTCGTCTGACATGCCGTGTAGCTGGCCGTACGCAACCGGTACAGTGGGCAGCCCGGCTTCCACCCGCTGGCGATGCAGTGCGCTAGCCGCCATTACGGATTCACGGTTGTGTGATGCGAGCAGTAGATTGACCGACGGAAAGAGACGATGTTTCCCTCCAAAGGGACCGAGTCGCTGGCGGAGAGCACCCTGCGCTATAGTATTGTACGCGTTGTCTGTATCTTCCTTTGTATCGTGGATCAAAGCCCGGTTATCAGAGAGAATGTATGCGCCACGCACGAGCTTCAGGCCTAGGGTAAACTCGTCTTTCTCGGCTTCCGCCATGTGTTGCTGGACTACGGCGGGTGTTTCTTTGAGGTAGGCCTGGTAGGTGTTGTATATGACTGCTTTGCCTCCGCGATTGAATTTCCGCATTAGCTCCAAGGTAGTGCGGGCGATGCCGTGCTGCCAGTGCTGGGACTCGGCGTCGATTATGATTTGGATGCCGCGTTGCTTGCATTTTGTGGCTAGTTCGTCGAGGGCTGAGAGCATTTGCTGGGGTGGGAGGCTGCCTTGGCTGAATGCTGCGGAGACGGCTGGGCCGCCGCCTGTTGTCCTAGTGTTCAAATGTCAGTCTTGATTTTCTCTTACATATCTCTTCAAAAAGAGGTTTACTGACTTCAATGCCAGAATATCGCCTTTGGAAATCAAGTCCAACGTCCGCAGCGTCCCTTGTCTCCACGCTTCAATATCCGCATCATGCAACGCAGCCTTTCCATTAATGCCCTTTTCCAAACCATGATCCTTGGCAGAGCCTGCTTTGTGATCAAATACCATTTCCTTTGCATACGTCAAGATGACTCCTTTGAACCCGAGATCCTTGAGTTGCTTGACGCAAGCTTGTGTCTCCTGCTCTGTTTCTCCCGCACAAAACTGGTTATACAATGTCCTTTTCAAAACTGCCTTTAGAACTGGATTTCGATCTAAATTGAACAGGAAACTCCGGTTTGGTTTCGACAAAAAGGACAAAAGATGTAGTGCCGGTATCAGCAGAAATCTGTTCGATGATATAGTCGCAACGAATAGAGAGCGGAGTAACATGTGCGTCGGCATTACCGACAGAGGGTACTGCGCTCGTTGCTGAGCTGGTGCATGTCCCGCCGTCTCTCTCGTCCGTGGAAGCGTAGTCGTAGAGCTGAGCCGGATTCCGAATCTGCCAAAGTTATGGGCGAGGCTTCGCCTGCCGTATATGCATTGTAATCCCTTTCCGCTGAGTCGCGGTCGAAACATGGTTGCTCCTATACGAGCAATCGACTACTATACGTAAAATCTATTTGACCACACGGAGAAAATAGTGTTGTGGAAATAGAACAGCAATGGATCAAGCATGTCTTGGAGATATGTGCCTCATTCTCCAACCAAGGTACCCTTATCTCCAACCCACCGTCTACCACGCTCATCACGACCCCGCTCCCACATCCGGGACGTGGGGTGTGTACTAGAGCGTGGCAGGTAGAAGCAC